TCCCATCCATATGGTGTCTCCTTTGAGGGTGCAACCTTTCTATTTCCATAGATGTCAATCACCCTGGGTGGTTTTTAGAAAGCATTCTGTAGGAATAAAATCTGACTGGAAAACAGAAGATGTGAACGCATATGCATTGCAGTGTGTGGCTCTTACATAAATACAGATGATGAGATAATAGCCGACTTAAAATTCTTAATATGTTGCGTTAGATATTGACTTGTATTGGCGCTGAAAAAAGCACTCCATACTTCAGATTTTGCATTATAAAGAAAACAATGTGCAAACTCTGTACGGTTCTTCTTGCACATCACAATAGTTATTTAACTTTATTAATCTCACATTGGAGAAATGTATCTCCTCATTTAACCCATCCCCTTGTGAAGCAGTAGGCTATCATTGTGTGGTGCCCAGGGAGCAGTGTGGGGTTAAGGGTTTTGCTCAGGAACCCAGAGCAGAGGCTGTGGAGATCAAACTGGGTACATGCAACCTTTTCAGAGCACAGGTGTACTGCTCTAACCCCCTAGGTCGAAAACATCAGTCTGTCGGGCAGAGACTTACTGCTGGCTCTTCACCTGTTAATGAACATTAAATGTAAATACCAGACAGCATAGTCATCAAGGTGCAGAGATTGTAAATGAAAAAGACTGCATCACAGATACTTGCCAATAAATAATCATATAATCATAGTCTTAATGGAAAATAGAAATATAGAAATATGTTAGGAATTGGCAACTTATAAATTGCTTTTGCTTTTAAAAATTAAATATCTATGGGAGGAAGAAAAAGTGACTCAATAGCGAGTACAAAAAGAGTTTGAGCGGAATTAAGAGGCAGACAGGGAGGAAAGTCATTTGTTCCCATCTTTTGCTCCACCAAATGTCATTTCAATGACTGAAGACACGTTCATTTCCATCAGCATCCATTCTCTTTCTCCATCTATCTCTTTTTTTTTCCACATTCATTGTCAGTGCCTTTTTCGCTTTAAGTGCACTTTCGCCTACACCACTTGGAAATTGATTGAAACAAAATGTCACAATTATGCCCTGTAGCTCGCCGCTTCAATTATTCATCAATTAGGGCTAGGCTCCTTTTTTTCTCTCCTCTGAGCTGATTTTTCATTCAGTTTGCTCGAGATGTATGGCTCCCCTGCTGTTAACCAGTCCAAAGTCATTAGTTTCTGGGTTTGCAATTAAACCTGATGCATTATGTATTAGGCTTCGACTCAGCAGACACACGTTCAGCAGCAGCAGCAGCAGCCGCACAGGCCAAGGCAGCAAGTGAACAGGCTGCTGGGCTCTGGAGGTGTGGATGAGAAATTAATTTGCTTGCATTGAAGTTCTCCTTCCCTCCTTCTCTCTCTAGCTTTCTCATGACTGACGGGTTAGAACAGATGCCACCAGGAGGAGATGGAGACAGAAAGAGGACGACTCTACTTAGACAAGGTAACAGGAAAGGGGGGATACACTAAATTGTCATTATACAACTTTTGGAAAATTTTGAAATATTTTGTTGGCCTTCAACGACTATTGTATTTTTATATATACATACCTCTGTTAATTGACCTATGTCCTGAAAATAAACTGCATAAATCTGTTACAATGTCTTTCAACACCATCAACAGTTTTGTTAATTTCCTTTATCTTTAAATGTAATTTTTGTATTATTGATTTGAGTTGTATGAAAACTATAGATGCCATACTACTTTCTTCCTGCAAAAAAAAAAAAAAAATCTTTCTTAAACTCCTCTCTGCAAACTGGAGAGTGTTAGGCTATTAACTTGGGATGTCTTAAAAATGCAATGTTCTTTTGCTGCCACCTTGTGGTCATAGAGTCAAGCAACGTTTAATGGACTTTAATTTTGTTTCAACAAAACATCAGTAGCATCCATCTGATCTGAAGGAGCTGTGTGAACACAGAAGAGCCTGAACTGGAACCAGGAGACTCATTATGTTAATTTCCTAAAACAGACAAATAACACAGAAAATGTATTCTAGTGCACATTTTACTACAGTTTAACGTCTATTCTTTGCCTGATTTTATCTAAGCCCTTGAAAATAATCTCATGAAATTAAAGAGTAGAATGAGTCTCATTGTAAAAAAAAATAAATAAGATAAAGACTGTTAAATACAAAACTATCATTAGTTGCTTTTTGTAAATGAAACTACCAAATATTCAGTTCGGAAGACGTGTAATTAGCAGTATTTTAAAAGATAAGAGCTATGTTCAATAAAAAGGATAATAACCCATTAATCAGTCACCTAGTATTTCTGTAACCAGTTCTGATTGTATTCCGCATTTATTACACAGAAAAATTTTATTAATTTTGTGTGTTCCAATATGCATACAGAGGTTAGGGACAGAAATATGCTTTGATGCAATGCCTAAACTCTAAAATACATTTCTTAAATTCCAACATGCACATATAACTGTTTGACACACTTTCAAATGGGAAAACTTTATGCAGGCTTAAAGAAATGTTACATTATCCTCTTTAAATGTTGAGTCAACACAGATTTTGTACAGATTATGGAGAACATTTTGAAATCTTGTTAACCTTGCTAAAAGAGATAGCCTAGTATACAGCTGGTGAGATGTTTTTGTTAAAGGTTTCTGACAACAAATAGGTGATTTTTTTGTTTATTGAAAATTTTTTATGTCTCATACCAATCCTGTAAACCAGCTTTGATGTGTCGGAGCTGAGACAACCTGACATTGCATGAAAAACTGAAAAAAAAAAAAGGAAAATGCCCAGAACAACAGCAGGAACCCCTAGTTTGTCGAGTGAATTCTAGGAAAAAGTAACCCATCAAGATACTTGCTGATACCACTTTTTGTCCATATAAGGACATAAGCTTTTATTGTTTGGTTTGGGTAGAGTGGAAATCTCAGGTGGATCAAAAAGAACTGCTTTCTGTTTTCAACAAGACCAAATCTGGCAGTTAAGTCCTATAAAGACAAAGCTGGGTCACAGTTATCAAAACAACAGTTTGAGGAGAGAAATGAATCCATGAAAAATATCTTGACCTTTAGTCGGTGTTATGCAGAATTAGCTTACACTGTCTTTCTCCCCCCCAGTGGGGTTCTTTCAGATGCAGCAGGTTGAACTAAACCATATATATAAATATGTGGAAGCATTTTTTTTTACTGTATATTGTTGTGGATGTTACAGCACAATGTACCACTACAGGAAACATGGACAGTGGGTTTCCAGCCACATCCTAAAAGCTGATATTCCCTGCAGGAAAAACCAAATGATGTTTTTTTTGTCAACAAGTCATCTTCAAATTTGGTAGTACATGGTTTCGTAAGTTAGAAGGTGCGATAATGTATGTATCTCCCTGCACTGATGCTACTGCTGAGGTAGCCACCATGGCTTGTTGGAAGTAAGGTTTATCGCAAATACCTCTATCAGATCAGGAATCTCCTCCTGCTTGTTATCCAGCACACTGAGGTGTGGAAGCATTATCAACCCGAGTAAATAAATATAATTTAATCGCTTCTGACATAAAATTTTTTGTCATTGGTTCATCTCACCACACTGAAGAGATTATCATTAATTTATCAGCCACCAACCACACTCACGTTTTAAAGCAACACCATATTACCTTTGACTTTTCATAAGGGCTGATAAATATGTTTAATGCCTTGAAGTAATATCCTCTCAAATTTAGATTGCTTAATCTCACAATGAAAGAGATTAACAACTCAACCTTTAAATCTCAGAAGATTAAATCAACAAGGAAAAAAAGCTCCATGATAAACGAAGTCAGCTTTTACAAAATCCTGAGTATCACGACACAAGATGGATTCCTATGTCTGCTCTTTCAAAAAGGAAAAAGATAAGATGACAGCCTTTGGGTAACACGGATGTGCTGCCCATCTAAAACTAACCACTTCTCTTTTTAAAGTTATTTATTCTTCATTAAGAAATCATGAACTATGTTAAACAATGGCTGGATAAGGAGCCAAGTTCATCTTGTATGTGATGCATCAAGGAGGAGGATAAAGGACAAAAGAAGATTCTAACAGGAAACTGTGTCGGGGTTGGTGGATGTGCAAAGAGGAGGCAGATATGATTACTTGCAAAATTTAATGAAGAATTAAAAAATAATCAAATCAGGTAAAATAGGAAAACCTTCTTAATAAAACATGTGGGTAAAAAATCAAGACAGCAGGAAGAGGAGCTTAACTTCTGAAATTTCTCTTAAACTTCTGCAGTTTATTTGGCAGAATTGGGGCATTTTATCAGAGTTTAGTGTAACTGGTGACAGCACTCCACAAAACTCTGCTAAGTACTTGATTTATTTTTCACACTTTGTTACAAAAGAGGCAGAGTTCAAAGCATTTTATTACTTTCTATCTGCAACCACATAAAAGCAAACAACTATCTTTAAATGTTACCCAATAAGTAAATGTCTATTTGTGGTGCATAACTATAATATAACTATAATATACTGATAAGTGGATTAGAATATTTTTGGCAAATCCAGTCTAACACTGCAAACTAATAATGAGAAGCTTCTTTTTGAATGTCTCATGTCTACTGATCAGACCGTAATTAGACGTTTCGAAATGATGCCAACCAATCAGGAGTATTGTTATACTTTGATTTACCAGCAACAGCTGATTCAAAATGGGTGGAAATATTATTTTCTTGATGTGCAAAGTTGGTAGAGACATATCCTTAAGACAGCTAAAATTACTGTAAACGCTGGTTCTACTAAACATAGATAAGGAAAAGAATTTGTAAAGCAGTTTATCAAAAATTTAAACATAAATCATAGTTGTCTTGGCCTGTCAGCTGCAGAGCCAAGCTCATGTTTTGCACTTCAACAGTGAACAGCAGTCATTATCTCTTTGTAGACACTGGAAGAAATCTTCTGAAAAATCTCAGTTTGTACTTGTAGGTTTTATTTATATGATCAACATGGTGTTTGGCTGATATTGCTAACCTTTGATGTGCTGTGGAGAAAATTCACAAAACAGAAAAACAAAGACATTTTAATGCTACAGTGATTTTATTCAGTGCTTTGGAAACCAATTTATAAAGCAAGTCAAAACTGTTGATGAATTCTCCACATTAAACTATATCATGGAAGCATGTAAATAATAGCAAGCAGTAACTTTTTTAAGTAAATTCAAATTTCATCATCTATTACAAAAGTGTCTTGTATATAATATATATGGCAAAAAGCACTCCCCAGGATTGAGGATAATTCCAACTTACTAATCACTATTAGTTTTTCTTTAATTCACTAGTTTGCAGTCCAGTCTGCTCTTAGTGCCAATACTTTCCAAGACATAGACAGTCTCACAATCTTTCAGTTTTTCAACTTTTTCCTCTACAAATTTGAACACCTCATATGGTGGTATGAGCACTTCTTTCTCTTCAGGATGAGCTGAATAATTTATTATGTCGGCACCATGACAGGTTTTGATTTTAAAGCAGGATTTTTTCCCGTATTGTTCCAAATTTGAAGTCAGAGAGCTGGATGTAAAGCTACCAAGTCGAATTTCCTTTTCTTTTTTTTCAAAAGTACTGTAGGTCCTTCTATAAGTAAAATAGCAACGTTTGTCATGTTCTTTTATTTTCTGTATAGCTGATGTAAGTAAGAAATATAAAGTGTGGTACTTAAATGAGGCGCCATATACATTTCTACCTGTCCTAGTAGCACTGTTAAAATCGGAATAAACTCCATTTTCATTTTTAGTGTAGACACGAAGAGCTGTCAGTTCATCCGGAGTCAGAAATGGATGATCTTTTATAGTGTTTCTTTCATTTTTCCAGTCATATTCGGTCTCTTCCAGTTCCTTTCTAAACTTTTCGAACTTTTTCTTAATCATGTCTTTGCAATCACTGTACATGTCATCAATAGAATTTTCGTGGAATTCTAATGGGTATGGGCCAGACATCTGCAAAAGAAGAAAAAAAACATTTAAGACAAGCTGTGTCATGTTATTTGTTATTTTTTTCTATCACCAATATGACTTAATCATATTTTTAAACAATAGCCAGCAGTAACCAGTTTTGTAAAAACATCTTAAAGCGAAAGTGAGGGAGATCAGTATAAGGTGCCGTGTTGGTGTTCACTTTAGACCAGGCATCCCCAAACTCGGTCCTCGAGGGCCGCTTTCCTGCAGGTTTTAGAGATTTCCTTACTCCAGCACAGCTGATTTGAATTGAAAGCTGATTAACAGGCTTCTGCTCTACTGCATTCATGATAATCAGCTGTGCTAAAGCAGTGAAACCCTTAAAACCTGCAGGACAGCGGCCTTCGAGGACCGAGTTTGGGGATGCCTGCTTTAGACAGTGAGCACATTGAGAGCTTGCAAATTCCAAAATAAAAGGGATTCATAAAAAAAAAAAAAAATTAAAAACCAAGTAAAAATTAAATTAGTTTCTCTGATAAAAAAAATAAAGGTAAAGAAAGTGATGACAAAGGACAGCCAATAGCAGATGGGAAACTTCATGAGAATATAATTTTCCAACATAAACAGTGGAGTTAAAAAAAAAATGACAACACACTGAAAGACCACTTGCAAAAACCAGTTACCAGTACCCTGTATCGGAAGAGACAATGAGGCCCTTATATGTCTAGGGTTTATGGGGCGATTTACTAGCTGAGGCAGTGAGAAGTGGTTAAAGTTTTTCTTTAGTTTGTCTTGTTTTCTTTTTGCTTTTCTGTAATTTTGTTTTGTTTTTAGATTTCAAGGGGATCACTATTCGTATGTCCTCCTCAAGTCCTGCCATGAGTAAAGTTTATTAAATATTTGTATTGCTTTTCTTTGCTGCGCTGTGCGACTCCAAACCTTTTATTTTTTATTTCTCCCAAAGAGGATGTGTTCTACTATGTAGCCCCGTCTATATTTCTGCCACACGTTTGAAAATACAGCTGAATTGCTGCATAGTCCCAACTCGACTCTATGATATTCAAGATTTTGGGTTTCAAAACAGGTGATATGATAATAGTCCGTTTGCAAATGGAACTTAAAATATAATGGCTTATGAGCATTATAAAAATATTTCAAACAGAAAGCTACTGTTCCTGGAAATTAACGCATATGCGTGGAAAAGGCCAGTCAGTGCGTGAAATGGAAATTTAAATTTACATTACAACAGCAGACAGGTAGCTGCCTCGGGCGCCATCTGCTGGACAGGGCGCAAAATTGCAGAATGGAAAATAAATTATTGTAGCCTAGGATGAATGATACACACACAGACCTACATTTATTTATTTTTTAAGTCATAGTATTTTAAGTATTCTCAGGCTACTTATCTTTCAAATTGAAATGTATTCTTTGGAATTTTTCCTTTTACAGTTTTTGTCTTAACGTTGATATTTAAGTTTTGCCTTTGATTTTACAGTTTTATGTTGCTTTTGCACCCATCACATTTATATGCGATTATACCTTGTTGGTTACTGTAATATTGTAATTATATCGATCATATTTATAAATATTCTTCAGGTTACTGACTTTAAAAAAGGTTGTTTTTTTTAAACATAATATAAAAAAATAATGATTATGGAATTACTGTGGAATTGAGTGCAAACTCGCTAACATTTAGGTTATGAAAAATTTAATCCGCCCACAGGGTAATTATTTGTCATTTCTTGCCTTGTATTTTCAACCTGCTGAAGGAATCTTATTCTGAAAATTTGTTGTTTTTTTTTTTATTATATCAAATTCATAATCATTTTTAAGGGCAATAAACAAGTAGTATAAATAATAATAAAAAATAAGAACCAGAAGACAAAATAATAAGGCAGTTTCACCGCAGTGCAGTTAGTGTGCAGTATTGCAGATTAAATTATATTTTGCCTTTTGAAATGATGTTTCATCTCAAGAGGTTATCCAATAATAAATAAACAAATCAAATTAATTAATTAACAAGCGTGTACCACTGAGCATCACCATCTAAAGGATTAATTTGATTTAGCCATGTAACAGAAAACAAAAAACACCAATGACGATGACTATTTCTTCTACAGGCTGTACAAGTAGGGTTGACAAATATTGCAACATTTATCCCCTACAAGCTTTATTTTTTTTTATTGAAAGGGAATTAGTTGAGAAATTTTTGATCGGAAGGTCTGTGGGAGAAAACATTAAAAATCAGGATTCTCCCGCTTACATCCGGAGAGCTTGCAAGTATGTAAGCTCAGTGGCTGACACATCATTTGTCAGCTTTATTCTATAAAATTAGTTAATATTGTATAAGAAATACATTTTAAAAAGTTCTGTGCCTAAAACTTCCTGTGAAATGGTTGTATGAGGTGTATTCACTTCACTACAGGGTATAGAGATACGTTTGAAAAGAAATACCTAAAAAGTATTACAAAATTTTGAAAAACTGAGTAACCCTGACTACAATACTTTTGGCATTGAAAATTAAATCTACAAGTTTGTCTGTTCTACATGTGGCCTCCCTTACATCTCTCTGTGAAATAATGCAGGCACCGATGCAGAAAAAACTAAAATACTACACCAAAAACATAGTAAATTGCACATTTCTCTAAATTACAGTTTCAAAATAAAATGTTTTTTACATGTTTTTCCACTTACCACTCCATTGAATTGTGTCCAGCAGAGAAGACATAGTGTAGTGAAGATCAGCATGATTTCTTCTTTTTTACCTACAAAATAAACAGCATGATTCTTATTTTCCTAACAAGCACAAATAATGTACGTGAATGGTATTCTAACATACCTGTGGTAATTTCCAGAAAAAAGAATGCGAGTTTGAGAGTTCCCTCAAAGTGGCTATGCTGCAGAGCTGGGACAGAATATATATACCCCTGCAAAAGGAATCTAAACTGTTAATCTTCCTAATCACCCTTATCTGTTACAGTTATTGTTATCAAACAGAGTAGTCAAATAACTCAATTTCCATAATGAAGATGTATTCTGAAGTGAACATAATTTGTATTGAGCTCAGCTTTATACTACAGGATTTCTTAAAGTTGAAAAATAAAGGAAAACAATAACAATTATCCTGCTAAAGGTCAATTTTGGCATCATTTTTGAACATCCATTTGTCCGTCCATCCATGCATAGATGCATCTATGCAAACATTGTTATGGTAAGTCCTGGTATGAAGTTCATTGCGTTAATTCTAACGAATTGTAAAACTATTAGTCAGAGTGCAACATTGTTGCAATTAACTCCGTTATGTCCTTGGGCAAGGCACTTCACCTGCATTACCTACTGATAGTGCTCAGAGGGCCTGGTGGCGTCTTTGTATGGCAGCCTCTATTCTGTCAGTGAGCCCCAGGGCAGCTGTGGCTACCATGTAGCTGATACCATCACTGTGTGAGTGGGTGAATGGGTGAAGGACTGAATGTAGAGTAAAACACTTTGGTCAAGGCTCCTAACTTGAAAAAGTGCTAAATAAGGACAGGCAATTTACCATTAGGAGTTCAATTTCCAGCCCTGACTCACAGCCATTACTTATATCTCACATTTGCATTCACACCATAGCATACTAGGTAACCATTTTTAATGTGATAAAACCTTTTCCATTAATTATTTTTTTCTACAAATAGCAAAATACATATAAAAAAAAAAAACAGGCAGTCAAAACAAACCTACACTCCTCTGTGTCACCATGTTTGTTATTACGTCAGCTGTGACATAATTCATCATATACTCAAATATTCTAATGTACTGGAGGAAACAACCCCATGCTAAATGTGAATTCCCTTCAACATTATTCCTACTAGCAATCAAATATTTGAAAGATGCAGTCTTTGTCATCAAGCTGAGTCCAGCTTGCAAGCTTCGGCACACGCACGCTCTTCTAGTGCCATTATATCAGCCACTCTGCAGTAATGAGGCCTTCTGTTATCAGTGCATGGTGTATTTTTTCTAACTCCTTGTGGCGAAAGTGAACCATCCCCCAGGGGACAAAGCAGTGGAGATTCCGGTAAATTTTGTCCCAAATAATACGTTCTTTAAAGACTTTTTTTCCAGAAAGGTAATACCACTGGACATTCCCAGAAGGCATGCAGAAATAAACTTATAGCTCTGTCAGTCTCAGGTGGCAGTCTGCAGTACCGGGGCCCCCAGGGGCACCGTACTGTCTCCATTTCTCTTCCCCCTCTACACCTTAGACTTTACCTACAATAGGGAAAGCGACCACCTCCAGAAGTTGATGACTCGGCCAATGAGGCCTGTGTGTAGGAGGAACGAGCTTGAGTATCATCAGTCTTCATGAACTTTGTGGACACCAGTAAGACCAAGGAGATGGTGATAGACTTCAGGAGAAGACCCCCACCTCACTCCCCTGTGAACATCAAGGGGCAGGATATAGAAACCCTGGAGTTTCAGATACCTGGGTGTTTATGTAAACAACAAACTGAGCTGGACTTATAGCACTGACGCCCTATTAGGAGGCCCTTTGGAGGGAGCAGGCCCCTGCTTATAACCTACTATGACTCTGTGATGGCATCTGGGCTCCTCTATGCTGTCGTCTGCTGGAACCCTGGCAGCGCAGAGCAGGACAGAAAGAGACTGAAACAGCTGTTGAGGACCACTTCTGTCCTAGGCTGCACTCTTGACTCAGTGAAGGAAGTGGCTGATAGGAGTGTTGTCCAAGCTCACATCCATCATGGAAAAACACCTTCCACCGTCTGCACCAGGCTTTAGAGGAGCTGAGCACCTCCTTTTGTGAAAGACTTAAACACCCTGTTTGTAAAAAGGAGCGCCACCGCAGGTCATCCATCCCTGCTGCCATCAGTTTATAATGCCACACTATAACTGCAATAACCTGCGCAATAACTAAGGTGCAATCACTATTTAATAACCTGTTATCCTGTTAGATAAGCGACTTCAGCTGCTAGTTATCTTACCATCTCACTGTTGTTCTGTACCTTGTACCACTTTAATGTACAATGCCAAATCCATGTGTATAAGTCACCTTTATTGATCCACTGTATATACATGGATTCACTGGACCCAGGAGGTTTAAAGCATCATATGCTAAATAACCAGGTTATATTTTGTTATATTAATTTACTCCTCACTTTTGTCTATTCTGCTCTTTGCTGTCTGCCTGTATTTGTGTAAAAACAAACATGCAAAATAAATCAGAAAGCTATGGACAGCATTGATGGTATTTAATGTAAAACTCAACAGTAACCAAATTTCATTCTTTGCTGCTCTTTGAAAGGTGATTCTGTATCTAATAATTGAGCAAATGGACGGAAATGTTGTGCTTCCTTCTCTCTTTCCTAAACTGTCCTAGGAAGAAAGAAAACCCCTTTACAAGCATTTGTTTCTCTTTAATAAAGACATTTATTTCTGTCAGAGGGGGGACTGTCTCTTAGTTGTCATCGGCACTGGCTGCTTCCTTTAGTCGCTCCACACTGTTGTAGTGCTCTCCTAGACCATAGGCATGATGCATATATCTGTAAAAAATTAATAAAAACACATATATTCAATGACAGCAAAGGTCAGTGCCATACCTCAATTTGCCTTCAGCTTCTTTACATGAGAAACTGATAATGTGCTATCAGTTTGTCCATGTTTTCATACAGGTAAATCATCCTATAGCATTAACAAAGGAAAACTGTTGGAGCTTACTACTGCTACAGCGAGGTCTGTGATACTGTATGTGAAATGTATTATAAAGACTAGTTTTGCATAAAAAGATTACATTTACAGTCCCTAAACCTGCAGTGAATGCCTCCCAAAAAACGGATGCAAATCCACTCACACCTTTCTATCTCTATGTAAAGCATTTCTGAAAACTAAAGTTTTTCCCTCCAGTTTAAAGGGAATATTTCAACCACTTTTCTTACACAAGAGTGAGGATTTCACCATCGTATTCCTCTCCAATCCTGATTGTTGGGGAGTCAGCCTGGATCACTTCTATTGGCAATTTCAGCACCCGACTCAAAGCCTGAAGCTGTGAACAACAGGAATGTAAAACATAAACTACAGTAAATCCGTACATATTACTGCTAAATAACAGAGAAAGCAACTCACTTCTAGCTGCCCACCCCAAGCTGCTGTGTGCTCTACATCACTGCAGTATTTTTCAAACTCCTCTGAAAAAAAAAAAAACACAGAAGATAATCAAACACACAGCAAGGTTATAATAGTTTGAGGTTATTGATTATAATTCAGCTTGATTTTCTTTTTGATTTCCTTAGTACCAAACTAATACTAAGAATATTCTTGATCTGTTATGGATGAAAAGGAGTCTGATCCACAGATCTATTCAGTCTCTCTGTAGATAATTTAAGTTTTGTTAGAAATCTCTTAAGCAACAGGAAAGTTCACTTTAAGTCTTTAAGATATTTGTTTGTGGTTTAATAAATACAGTCGATTTGAAACAATTTTTTTGGATGGAAAATGTTATGTTAACACAATTTATGGTGTTTATGAATTCCACTGGTTTGTTTGTGTTTGTCTAACCATCCTGGAGAGACATTGTCTTGGCTAATGCCATCAGCACCTTAGATTACCAGTTTTTCTGTATGTAGTCCTGTTTCTCTTCTAGACATAGCATTGGGCTCAGCTTTTACTGTGACTAACCACATCTGCTTAAGTGTTTGTTTCCAGGACAGAGACACCAGTGGTGCTAGTTTACCTTTACTAGCATAGAAAGTATTTATAGATCATATTTCATATTTATAGATGAAAGAATAAAATGTAATTACTGTTGAACATTCAACTGGCAACAAATAAACGTAACAATCCACTATATAGCAGCATGAAGTGCAGAATGTGTGACACACTCTTCTTCCTCTCAGATTAAAAACACAGAGGCATGGCAGGGTGCGAGTGAAATGGAGTTCTTGCTATAACATTGAGAGACCGTAGTAGCTACTTTTTGCTCGGCCATGTTTTTGTCCAAATACGTTGTCGCCTTTTCTTTTTAGGGCTTTCAGCACAAAACTGCCAAGGCAGCGAATTTCACTCTAGTGAGCTTCATATTCCCTTTCTTTTTGTTTGGCTTCCGGATAGAAGAGTCAGAGTAATGCCATCTCACTGCAGAGCTGAGTCTGACGTGATTTTTAGACATACAATGTGAGCAGGTAGATCCCATCAGAGCGTCAGGCCGAGCTGTAGCTGCGTGCAACGATTGAAAAAAATCGCACAGTGAACACCCGGTTTAAGTTTATTTGATATAAACACAATACACTTTCAGTTAGTTAAAGTTTTTTTTTTTTTACCCTTTTTATAACAGTTTCTAGTTATTTTAATTAGCTAAAATATTTTCTCAGTTGTCATTTTTTTGTGCATTTCACTTAACCTAGTTGGAATACACACAGAGCTCACTCATAATTATCTGATATACAGCCATAATTCAACTCTTCTAACATATTGTATCAGAGAGAGAGAGAGAATATTGTACATACATACTACATAAATCTAATCTATTTTTATACCTTCCCTTATGCCGGTTTGTATAACTAACTCATAACAAATCAGTTTTACCTGTTGTGAACATGTCTCCAGTGTTGGGGTTGGTGAGAAAAGGTAGGAAGTCGTCAGCATTATTTCTCATGTGCTCAGCAGTGCGGGTCCGGAGTTCCTTCATACTCATGTTCAACGCAGGCTAGGAGAGAAAACAACAGAAAGCCTGCTCAATGCAAGTACAAGCTTGAACCGCAATATGAATAAATGTTTTAGATGAATTAGATTTGATTGCCTCTACCACAGAGTTAACATTTGCCTGTGGGATCTCTGATTAAATAATCAAAACATTGCAACGCTTCAGTAAATGAAACTACCTTTAATCGCTGCGCTAGTTGGTCTTCAATGGCGCGATACATGCAGTGTCCATCAGATGCAATCTCCTTTATCTGCAGCTGTTGCTGAGCCAGTTTCTGAGCCAGCTTCAAACCCTCCTGGTGCCTCACACCCTGGAGGTTCTGCACCTCTGCCTCTGCTATCCTGCTCTCCCTCTCCTTCTCCTGTGCAGCCTTCTTGTCCTGGAGAGCATTTTTCATTCAAAAACCGTAGATTTAATACAAGCTGACAGCTGTAGTTAAAAAATAAATAATACATTAATATCAAAGGTAGGTAGGGATGTTTTTCAAATTAAAAATATGTTATGATTTTTAATTTGGTCATAAAACCAAGTTTTGGATACATTACGGTCTACCTGTTATATGGCAGTAATAACTGAAAACTTTATGAAAGACATCTTACCCTTCTTTTCTGGGCCTTCGTTACACGGGGCTGTTTGGACTCTTCCTGTCCTCCACCTTCCAGCTGTATGGTCTCCACACCATTCACCACTTCCTCCACCTGGTCAGAGGGAGGAACCGTAACAATTAGTAATAATTTATCAGCAACTTATTATTAGAGCATCTTCTGTATCAAAATAAAGTGCTAATCATAAGATTATTATAATTATGAATAGCCATGGTTATATTTTGGAGTAATATTTCAAATACCTTTTCTTTTTTTTTTTTTACATGTTTAAATAAGTTAAGATCAAACATTTAGAAATTATATAAGAGGAGCCACTGATTATTTCTGTAAGAAACAAAGAAAGGAGTCATGTCTGACACATGCGTCAACATTCAGAGTAATTTTTTTTAATAAAAGTGGTTACCTTTGTATCAGCGGTAGATTTCAGCTGCTTGAGTTCCTCTTCATGCTTCTGATTGAGATCCGTCTCCAATTTTGCTATCTCCTCTGTAAGCTGTTTTCTCCTTTTCTTGTCATTTTTGGGGACTGCATTTTTCATACCCTGGATCTTAGCTGTAAAGTAAGCACACAAACACTTTTTAAGGGCATCAAAGAAATAAATCTTGTGAATATTAACTTGATTAATATAGAAATTCACGATATACAAGTTGCACCGAAATTCAGCAGATTCTAAACAGTGTGGAAGAAAAAAACATGCTGCATTAATGAATAGAAAAGGGAAACAATCTAAGCTTAAGAGACCCAAATATGTATTGCAGTTATTTAAAAAGTTATTGAAGTGATTAAAAGCTGTATGTATTTTAGCTGCTCTTGTGGTTGTTTTCTCCAGCTCTGTGAGTTTTGTGGTTTTACGTCAAAAACTGAAAATCATTCATTATCCTCTCGATTTTTTTTTCTCCATTCCAACAACCATAGTGTAAAATTCTGAGGCACTGTTTGTACAAGAACAAGAACTTTGACTGTTCAGAACCTGCTTCTCGTTTATGTGTATTTTAATGGTGGTTACAAAATGAAAACAAAATGCACTAATATAAACCAGTGTGCATTTCTGCTTCTATCTCCTTAAACCTCAGCCGGCATCGGAAGAAGGCTGCTTACGCTGAGCCTGATTTTCCTTAAGGTTTTTTCCAGTAAAAGGAAATTTATTCTCTCTCTGTCTCTACATTTATGCTTGTTATGAGGGATTGCTGGCAAGTCAATGAGTCGATGCAATCACCTGGTTTTCCTTAGACAGAAACTTAAATAAAACTGGAATTGGATCAGAAGTGAAAAATGTGGATCGTGCATCCCTTTTTTTACTCTTTTTTTTTCTAAAACTGCTTGGTTTTAATTAGGTCTAACACTAGTTTTATGTTTTCATGCTTTGGTTCATTTTCAGACACAAGATTCAAAAAGGTTTGAGTCTAATTATTATGTTGTGTGAAGATTTAACAAAGAAAAGAGCAATGAAAGGAAAAAATGCGATTATTGTTGAACATTCAACTGGCAACAAAAAATTTAACAATCCACTATATACAAGCCTGAAGTGCAGAATGTGACACACTGCTTTTGTTAGAACTCATCCATAGATTAGTACAGATTGTACTATTTGTAAAAAGAACAATAACTATGACTGTTCAGACCATGCTTCTCGTTTATGTGTATTTTAACACATAAACAGAATGCATTAATATGAACCACGTTTATGCAATGCTGCCAGAATTGACTAACCGTCATATCAAAAAGACAAATAATATAAATTGAGACAGTAAGAGTTTGATAAACAGAGGTAACGGTCGGTGAGTTTTGATACCCTGCAGGTCCTTCTTCTCTTTGCGGTGCTGCTTTATCAGGAGCTCCTCTGCTGTCTCCCCTTCTTCCATGACGGGCTGTTTCCTTCTGCTGTTTCAGTGGTTCAGTTAGCTCTTATTAATTGTAATTGTCAGTTCAAGTGCAATTATTACAATATCATCAATCTACGCTATTTAAAATCAAATGTTTACGAGTAATTAGCCTTTAAAACGTAGTACCACAGTCTGACGGAAGTAACCATTTTCTTTCTTCCTCTGGAATTTTTGGAACGGTCGGTGAATCCCTGTAGTAGCGCTTTACCGCCACCCACTGGTGTGGAGTGTGTACTGAACGAATTTTGAATAAGGACCTCATACCCTTTCAAATAAAAGATTTACGTTTTAAAATATTTGATCAAAGATTACTATCTGATATTGAATTTCTATATTATTAATAGGGGATTTAATATTCTCTTAATTTTGGAGTGACTATTTATCGGCTGAACTCTTATAATACCATAGTTTTGACACATTTATTTGTATGAAGTCCTCCTATTACAGTACTATTTATCCTGTATGCCCAAATCTGAGCTGTGTTATAACTAGGGCTGCAACTAATGATTATTTTGCAAAGCAGTTAATCTGTCAACTCATTTTTCGAATTAATCGATTAATAATAGGATAGCAAAAGGTTCCTATAGGAAGATTTTTTCCAAAATTAAACCAGGGGAAACTTTCCACTTGAAGAGTTCTGTACAGAGCATATTGACAGCAGGATTTTTAAAAAAAAATCTTAAATGCAAACTGTTTATATATATATATTGTTACAATGTTGGTATAATTGCTGCTCAATTTGGGTCACTCTGTCAGCTAAAGGCATGTTTTAGAATCTCTACACTCCAGTTAAAGATCAATTGATGTTTGTTGTTCTTTGATTTTTAAATCACTGAAAACATTTTCAATATACAGAACCTTGATATTACGTAATATTATTATTAAAAAATAAAATAAAACAGTATCTTATCTACTATAGTTCAGTATCAGCATTTAATTGTATATAAATACATATAAAGACTACTTGTATAAAATGTTGTATAATTATATATTTTTTTGCGACAGATTGTAGAATTAAAGTAACATGTTTTTATTTATTTTGGTTATGCTCTTAGCGAGATATATTATCTGTTTAAATTAAATATATTACTTTCATATATTGTGTGTTAAAATAAGTACTATAAATGAAAAATAATTAAAGATTTATAATAAAAAAAACAACAACTACATTGTCGAGCATTACTATATTGTTCTATTAAACTCGTTTTTATTGATACTGTAAGAAATGTGTATAATTGTAAATAAATTTGTGCCTGGGTTTTGCTGCAGTCGCTGTGCTGAGGTGCACTGTGACGTCACTCAGAGCGGAAGAGGTCGTCGTGTGTTTTGGTTCTAAGGGGAAGTTGCGACGAGAAGAAAGAAAGGAGGAGACGTGACGGGATTGTTGAAACTGTTTTTCTCGGCTCCCCATACCATCCCTACGCAAAAGCCCCGGATACCGTGTGTATACACACCAAAGCGGTGGGAGTAAAAGTTTCCCCATCGCCTGGCTCTCAGGTAGCGGACACGTCGCTGTTAGCTGCTGCTGCCTCGCTGTATTTAGCGCTAACGGTTGCTCTGCTGTGCCTCCGTTAGCTGACTTCGGCTAAAGTCTGACCCTTGACAATGTAAATAATTTTAAGCCTTTCGGATTCAGTTGAGTGTTTTTTGTTGTATAAGATAACCTGATTCATTTAACACGACTACAGAAGTTAACTTTTATGACATGCAGGTCGTTTAGTCACCAGCTTAAAGGATGGCTGGACTGCTATCAAGTGCTAACATGCTAGTGCTAGCGGTTTGGCAACTCCCCTTTAAAAACGCCGTAACAGATTTAGTCCAAGATTATTATTTTTTAAGATTAGCACATTATTAGTCAACACGTGTAGCTTTTTTGGTAAATATTTGTAGTTGTGAGAGGTTAACTATGTTGTCCAGCTATCATCCACAAACAACATGTTTGCACTGTGAAAGCTAACCAGCTAAACAACCATTATAAAATCTATATCTAATATCCAAACAGAGCCAGGGCCGCCGCCAATGTATTTATAGTCAACGACTGCCTTTTGATTTCGTATTCGTGGTGCGTTTGTTGACACTCCTTCTCGTAAAGTCTGGGTAAACAGAATTGAGTCCTGTAGCGTTTTTGTCTTTTTCTCATGCTTGTTTTTTCGGCATTCATTGCTAAAGTTAGTGTGTAAAGACGAGCCCTCCATTTATATTATAACTCTCACAAATAAAGGAGCTGTTTCTGAATGTATAGAAAGATGATCTGCCTGGTCCTTTACTTCAATTTTAGGACTCTTATTGTATTTCTTCTAACTGCAGTATCTATGTAAATATCATTTCTTTTTATTTAAATTAAAACAAGAACGTATAGTTTTAATTGATCAAACATCCCCCATTAGCTGGATCTATCTGTCACTATAAATGAAGTGAATATGATTTAAATATTTTCTACATCCTAAATGCCTCATAAATGACTAAAATAATTTTATAGAAAAGCATCAAGAAACTGACCAATGTTTATTAGTGGACTTAACTTTTTTAATGACTGGATAGTATGATATTAAAGACTGAAAAATCTTTTTACTAAGCGCTAATAACACTACACGTGGAAGTTGTTATTGTGCAAAAAGATTTCATGTTTGCTATTCTCAGTGTTTGGGAGATGTTAGAGGAAGCGCAGATAAAGTCAGAGGAAGCACAGAGAAGCTATTTAAAATCAAACTTTATATTCGACATGTCAGGAAATGTTCACAGTTCATTCAGACCTGCAAAAGTCTATGGAATAAAAGGAAGGCTGGACATAGTAAAGAAAAGTTATTTTATTTTTTTATTCTTTTGAAGTCCCGTAAAAATTAAAAAAATATCCACTGGACTTGGTTTTCAAGATTTGAAGACGTTTCGCCACTTCTCCAGGAAGCTTTCTCAATTCAAATGTCTGGATCTGCAGTGAGTCTGACTCTTATATAGACAATGGCTATGACTATGACCTGGATGACTGAGAATCTTCATCAGCAATTCTTTTGAAGGTGCTGAACCTCTAATAAAAACCCCCACTTAGAAATGTTGGGCTGCATAATTGAAGATTTTGACAGTGCTACTGCTAAGATAACCATTATCATTCTCTAAGGTGAAATTTTCCCTTTTCAAAAGTCTCCTTGAAATTAATTTAAAATATAGACACACATTTTTTTTGTGTATGTTCATTTTATAATAGTAAATCAGTTCTACAGAAAATGCATGAGCAATCGTAGTAGAAAGTTTAGCGGGGGAATATATGCTTAATACTGGTCTTAAATCTTATAGAGAAAAAATTCAATTGTCTAAAATCGATATCCAGAGTTCAGAGCTCTTTAAAAACTGGTGATCTGAAATCAATCACAAAGTTCTCATCTTTGTATCATAGTATAGCTAGATATATAAATCACTGATACAGTTCAATGCTGATGCCGATTATTTTGGCAACGAGCTAACAGATCCCCAATATGTGCTATAGATATTTTAGGCCGGTTATTGAAGCCAATATTACTTTTTCTTCTTCCAGTTACACAATACAAGTGACGCAATTTTAAAAATGTCACAAAATTCTCGATTTAAGCCAAAAAAATAACATCCATTAAAAACAAAAAAATAGTAAATAGTAAATGCTTTTAATGGGGTTTCAAGGCATGTTACTAGAAACCGGAAAAGGCCATCTACATATCGGCTGATACCGACCCAAAAACAAACCCGCTAATGTTGGCTGGCTAATGTGTCGGTCTATCTCTAGAAAAATATAAAATAAAAATTAGGTTGTTATTGACTACTTCACTGACTTAAAAAAAGATTGCTTGAAAAAGACTTCCCATATTCATGCTCAATAAACCAGTGATGTATTTGATAAATGGTGCGTAGGAAAAGGCAAACATATTTTAAAATATTTGTAAAGGTAAATTATTATGATTTTATTCTAATACTCTTTATGTGTATTTTTCGTAAAGTAAAATATGGAAAGATTTGAGAAGATTGCCTACATTGTAAACAGAATTTATTACTGCAGGGCGGCAGTAAACACTATCTATTAAAACTTAATTTGGTTTCAAAAGGTTTATTCCCAAAAGAGCTAAGCTCTTTTATGAAACTAAAGGAAAAGGGAAATAAACCTGGTGCATGTGTGCAGATGAATAGTCTGAAGTTTATCTTTGTTGCTATGCATGTTTTACTCCTTTATTTATTTCAGCTGAATTTAGAAGTTTCCTTAATTTGGTGTTTAAATGCTAGTTTGAGTTGTCTACAATTCTAAATGTTCCATCTGTCAGTGCGTATTTCCACTTCTGTATTTGATCATGTTTATTTTGAAATCCATGAATAGAAGTCATACTTTTCCAAGAACGGTGGAAATGATCCGATGAAACTGCTCTAACCATGTGTCCCACAGTTGGCATTTATTCCTAAAGAAGTTAGTGAGCAATGCATGGTATGCATCTAAACAGTAGCTCTCACAGAGAAAACATGCTTAAATACTGTGGGTGGGACTTATGTCCTCATCTTTCTGTGCTGTAATGAAACAGGGCTGTGTTTCAATTCACTACTTGTGTTGCTTTCTGTTACTCTATCTGGTTGAGACAGGCTCCTCTCATGTTTTCAGTGATTCACTCTCCTTTTTGTTCCAGCTTTAATTTCAGTTTATCAGTGTATAATTCAGACACGAACAGGTAAAACATGTTTAGAAAACAGACACAGCTTTAAGGCATGTGAGGAAGGTTTTCATTATAAAATGCAGATTCCGCTTGTAGTACTCCTCATTTTTCATGTTTGTTCGTCAGCTTTATAAGAGGTTTGTGTGGTTGTTTGCTTTTTTTGTTTGTTTGTTCTTTTTGTTATTCTGGAGGACTTTTGAGTGTTTTTTTTCTTTTTTATTAGATGATGTGTGGACGGCATCAATTAACATTTGCTAGATGTCACTTCCTTGCATTCAGTCCAAACTTTGCTATAAATTAACCTTAAAGGAATAGTACACCCAAAACATGATTAGCCTTCATTTTCTACTCACCCCCATGCTGAACAACACCCTGGAGTACTTTTTTGATATCTCAAATGCATCTGGAGATCTGGGAGGCTTCTTGCTGTCTGCTGACATTCAAATAATGGAGGTCTATCGTGACCGAGACAGAAAGGTCCATAAAAGTCCACAAAAAATGTGTCAATATTCCTCCATACTGCTCGTCCAATGTATTCCAAGTGTCCTGAGTGGGTAGCATCCAGAATTTACTCGAAACGAAGTCATTTAGAATGTTTTTAGAGCATAAACAGTAGTGTATAGGATTTCCTAAAAGCGCGTTCACGGCGCTACGGAAGCCGGCAGACCAAACCAGATGAAAGTGCGCATTCAGCGTCTGCTCTGCCAATAATGCAAGCGTAGAAGAAGAAATGTGCTGTTTACCTGTGCAAAGAAAGAAACAAAGAAAAGAAAAATGTCTGAGGACTTCAGTGTTGAGGAAGAGCATGAGTTCTTTGCCGAGCTGAATGCGCTGGTTTAGTCTGCCGGCTTCCGTAGCGTCGTGAACGCGCATGTGCGTGCTTTCAGGAAATCCTATACACTACTGTTTATGCTCTAAAAACATTCTAAATGACTTCGTTTCGAGTAAATTCTGGATGCTACCCACTCAGGACACTTGGAATACATTGGACGAGCAGTATGGAGGAATATTGACACGTTTTTTGTGGACTTTTATGGACCTTTCTGCCTCGGGCGCTGGGCACCTCCATTATTTGAATGTCAGCAGACAGCAAGAAGCCTCCCAGATCTCCAGATGCATTTGAGATATCAAAAAAGTACTCCAGAGTGTTGTTCAGCATGGGGGTGAGTAGAAAATGAAGGCTAATCATGTTTTGGGTGTACTATTCCTTTAAGATTAAATGTGATGCTTCTTTAGCTTCTAATATGGAGCTTTGTGTACATTTAGGAAGTTATTTTGTTTTTATGTGAGCAGTAGCATTGTTTTTTTTAAACTTTTTTTCTAAATACCTTTTTTGCAACTATTTCAGTTGTTGACTCTCGTACATCATTGAATGGCAGCTCATAGATGGCAGTCTATATGCTCAAGATATAATCTGTCTTTGTCTTAAGTGTTTAAACAAATATGCATAATTTACTGTTGTAACAGTAAGAAAGAAACTACTTATATATACATAAAGCAACCTTTATAGGGCAATAGGCAATTAAAGAACTGTTTTTTCCACCAATGCTATTCTTTGGCGTCTATATCTGAGGGTGAAATCAGTTCATAATTTCTGTGAACTAGAAGATAAAAAAGCTGTAACACCACTAGCTGCAAAACATTTAGTTTATCATATTTTAGTTGATTGAAGTGATACATGGTTTTACAAGCAATTTCACCATTTGATTTTTTTGCCATATACTTAAGAGAGGAAAAAAATCAAAATTTTTAGCCATATCACCCAGCCATAGATTATAGGTATCTTTTCCTGTTAAATTGATCTTGTCAAATTAAAAAAAAACTATATGGTGAACTCAGTTAACTGACTGTTCGGACAGATTGTTACTACTTTTCACACCTCATTGGTCATGTGACTCCGCCTCCCCAGCACAGTGCCTGCGCCATCTTTGTTTTTGACGCTGCTGTCAGGTAGCAACAGCCTTTGGCAACAGCGGGCCGCTGTGACAACCATTCCCATAATAGTAAAAGGGAACATATTTTGCTGGCAGGTTCGAACATTTAAAGTTGAATAAATAAACTGTTTCAGATGAGTGATCATAGCGATCTGCATTAGCAGCACTGTGTGTCTTCCTGCCAGCTCGCAGATTGGCTTCTCTGATTGGTTGATGTGGCACGTCGAGCAGCAGAAGTTCAATTTTTCGAACTCCAGCCTGCTGCTTGGGAAATTTTTAACATTTGAGCAAAGTTTCTGGGGAAGAACAGGGCGTACAATTTGTCATTTTTCTTAGTAAAGGCCGTATACATTGCTAAATAAAAGCCTGGTCAAGTCCTTGGGCAAGACACTTTGCCCACCTTGCACACTGTTGGTGATCAGGGTGCCTAATAGCATTGATTGTATGGCTGCCTTGTTTCTGACTGTCAGCTGTTAGGGCATATCCAAAACGCTTCCCTTTATGGGTACGATTTAATGCATAGTCAGTAAAAGATGTCCAGTAGAGAAAAGTTCAGTGTAGGAAAACAATATAAACTATTTATTTGTCCTCTGCTGGCTAGTGTGACTTTAGTTTGAGAATGTTTCATTTTTAATAGGGTCTTCATGTTGTCACTAGACTGGGATTAATCATCACCTTCCTTAGCTGTGCTTGACAGAATTGATTTATTTAAAATCGACATGTTCACACTGTTATATTGTTGTTTTAATGAAAATATGCTTCTCTAATGTTCCTCATTTTGATTTTGAAATGACACCATGTTAAGGAAACGCTTTAATAATGAGGTTTTTGAAGACGATTTCCAAAGTTTAACGTTAATTTTTTAGTAGTAAAGCAACTTGTATGTTCTTGTTTTCTAAAGCAGACGCCCAGGTCGTGAAGTTTGGCCCAGAGGATAGCACAGAATCTGATAAGGCCATGGCAAACAGAGGAGGAGCTACAAGACCCAATGGACCCAACGCAGGGAACAAGATCTGTCAGTTTAAGCTGGTGCTGTTGGGGGAATCAGCCGTTGGGAAGTCCAGCTTAGTGCTTCGCTTCGTCAAAGGCCAGTTCCATGAATTTCAGGAAAGCACAATAGGAGGTTAGTGATTTTAAAGGTTGGCCCATTTGTTTGTGATCAGTTTTGTATGTACAGTAAGACTTTGGAGAGAATGTTGTGTGGGTGGGAGGTTGATGATTCAATCTTGACTCATCCTTATTTTATCTCCTCAGCGGCTTTTCTCACCCAGACCGTGTGTCTAGATGACACAACAGTGAAGTTTGAAATCTGGGACACTGCAGGTCAAGAGCGGTACCACAGTTTGGCACCCATGTATTACAGGGGAGCACAAGCTGCCATTGTGGTCTATGACATCACAAACGAGGTACATCTGTCACTCACTATTTTTCCAGTTTTGAGGGCTGCATTGATGACACTTGCATATCTTGAGGAGGGGGGAATATGACCAGATCAATTTTATAACAAGCTGCAGCATGAAGTAAAGCGATAGTGTCAACATGTGGCACGTGGTCTTTGTTTCACAGGAGTCCTTTGCACGGGCGAAGAACTGGGTGAAGGAGCTACAGAGACAAGCTAGTCCTAATATAGTCATCGCCCTGTCAGGAAATAAAGCCGACTTGGCCAGCAAGAGAGCTGTGGATTTCCAGGTCATACTTATATTGTTAAACGATACTGCATTAAGCCACCTGGTTTTTGTTTTACTACTTTCTGAATCATATAGCTTATATCAACCCTATTAAATTCTCCATTTATACTCTAAAACAAACATAAGTATTATGTTAAGACGCAGCTTTTCAGAAATTCTTGCAAACCCTTGAATTTTCCATGTTTATAATTTCCCAACCAAGACAGTCTAATATTCTATTAATTAAATAAACTATAAATCCTTTATGCTTTAGATTGTTTTTATGTTTTTTTGAGTTGAGATGAAAAATTGGTTCTATAAAGAAGTGAGTTTGGGAGAAAATGCATCCAACATGTTTCTGATTTTGGTTTGTTAAATAGTTTGATAACCATATATCATTTTCTTTCCACGTAGATTATCCTGCAGTTTGTGTTGGGTTTTCGCTATGGTTGAACAATTCTTAAAACAAACAGTTGAGAGTGTTGACCTCTACCTGAATTGGGTTCATAGCAAACATAGACATAGACCCTAAATCTCAACATTGTTTAAATAAAAAGGTTGAATCTGGCCTGGATCTGCTGTTGTCTCATGCAAACAGATTGGCTGTCATTATTTTTGACTATTGCGCCTTAACGCTGCTTTACCTTCTTAAACTTTTTGAGCTGTGTTAAAGAACAATTTTGAACAAATTAACATTTACATCCATCGATAAACCCTATACATAGTTCTTACAGGGTTTCTGCGGGTCATTCAAAATCATTAGATTAATATATTTTAAATTAAGGCCTTAATTGGCATTAAAATAAATTAAATGTGATTATCATTTAAAAAGCTTTATTAAAAAAAAGTCAAATATATCAGATTTAACTGGTTTCACGTGGTTGCATGGAACTGCTCCTGGTTGATCCTAAAGCTATATGTTCAGAACAGAAGCTCGAGGCACAGAAAAAGCTAGAGAATGGAAAAATGCTGATTTTAACATAAGTGGCCAAAAAACGAGAAATTCGGGACATGGCTGCAGCCTGTCGATGGTAAAGATTGCAAAGGATTTAGCCGTGTTTATATATATATATAATGAGTACTTATTAATGGCATTAAAATTATTTCTAGGAGCATTAAAAAGTATTAAATTAGAGTTCCTCCTTCCTGTATAAACCCTGGCTTGAATAATAAATATTTATTGAGATTTAGACAGTAATTTACAACATGTAAATTACAACATACAGTATTACTGCAGTAATGATAAGTGACAATATATATCCTGCCCTATATTTATTACATGATAGTAAATAAACTTAAAAATTGTGTTTACAATGTGAAAAAGTTCAAAGCATTTAAAATACTTACTCTTTAGGATGTAACTTTCAGGCTTAATTTTTTAACTTTATTTTACAGTTTTATAGAAAAACAAACATCTAGCAATTTAAAATCAAAGCTTGCTTGGAAATGTAATTCTTTGTTGCTCCAAAGTGTTTTTAACCTGACAATTGTGCGAAATGTATAGAGAAATGTGTCAGGAAGTGTTTTTCTAATTCTGTTGTGTACTTGATGTTAACAGGATGCTCAGTCATACGCAGATGACAACAGCCTACTTTTTATGGAGACATCAGCCAAGACATCAATGAATGTGAATGAGATATTTATGGCTATTGGTAAGTTATCCTCTATATGTTGATAATTTAATTAAATTCAAAAGTACTTTGTTGATCCCAAAGGAGAATTAAATGTTCTTGCAGCTCTTTTTTTTACGAGTTCTTGTACATTTTGATAGCTGTATGGTGATAGGCAGTGTTAGTTTAAAAATTGGAAAAGAAATATTACTGCTTATGCCATCTTTGGCTAAAAAGTGTGTGAAATAGCAATTCTTTTCCTTCTTATGTTTGTTGTATTTGTTTTTTTTTATTTAGCAAAGAAATTGCCAAAAAATGAACCTCAAGCTCCAGGAGTCAACAGTGGCCGGACCCGAGGCGTTGACCTGACAGAAGCTGCTCAGCCAGCCAAGGCTCCATGCTGCGCTACCTAAAGATGAAGAGCACAGTTTTCCCTCCCTGACCTGTAAACTAGTAACTAATGTGGCTGACGCCCCAGATGCCACTGCAGCTACTAATGCAACATGTCCCCCTTTGTTTGAAACAGAAACAGATGCCCTGTAACTTCATCACACTTATTTTTGTATCACAGTAGCCAAGTCATCAATGCCTTTTAGGGCTCTGCCTCTTCCATTAGGGTTCTGTTGGTACCTGAAGAAGCCTCCCGACCACTCTGCTTTTTTTCTCTTTTTTTTAAATGCATCCAGTTGATTAGGTCAGCAGTTAACATTGATGTGTCTGTGATGAAGGCTTAGCTTCCCTTTTCCGGGGACTGCTGCTTTATTCACACCGTTCTTCTGATTTCTACCATCCTTTCATGTCAAGAACTTTAACGTTCAGATCGATCATCTTTGGTTGATTTGTGTTAGTTATCGTTTGCTATATTTTGTTTAAACTACAGATGCACATTCCTGTGTATTTAAGTGGATAAAGAGCACAAATAGAGACAAGTTGCAGACATAGAGCCATTACTTACGGCTCTAAGAAAAGAAGCAATGGTTATTAAAAAGTCAAAGAGGAACCCTGAGATCTGTGTACCTACCCTGTCATCAGGACCTTTTATTTAAAGTTTAAAAGACATTTTTAAACTTTTAATCTCCCTCAAGCCACTAGCTTTCGCTTGTGGTACTGTAGTCTTCTCTAAGCAACTGTGCCTGCTTTTTTTTGTGTCCATATTGGCTTTTTTTCATGTTTTGCTGTATTGCTCAATGATTTGAGTGTTTGCAATTAGTATTGCACCACAGCAAAAAAAAGCCCACTCTCTCCTCCAATCAAGACACAGAGGCCTCTAAGGTACACATCAGCAGCCGCTCATCTCTTCCATGTTTCATCCATTCATTAATCCCCTGTTGACCATCCCTTTCTGTTCAAACTTGGGTTGGAGGATTCAGTTTATGCAAATACTTTGCTTTTCCCATTATTTCAGTGTTGCTTGACCGCTGCAGGGTTTGCACAGGGTAAAAAAAAAAACAACAAAAAAACAAAGGTGGTGGTTGTAAGTGGGACGCTGCAATATGTGAGGTCTCTTCATGTTTATAGTGGAATTCTAATTATTTCACGTTTCGATTAGGAAGTGCTTTAGACACATCGGTGTGTCCGTGTATTCAAACTTTTCTTGGACTGGCTGGCTGGTGACTGATTTCATCTGTAGACTTAGAGTCACATGCACATTACACACGTTTGCACAATGGAGCACACATTCACTGAAAAACAGCAGATCAGCTCCCAGGCAGTCTGTTACACCTCATCCACATCACTGTTAAGCACATTTCTTTTTTGTCTTTTTTTTTTCTATGTCCCCACATGTTACATTCACATATTGACACACGTTACTTATATAGACTTTTTTTACCGGTCTGTCTTTCTCATGCCTTGCACTAATGATGCTTATGAATTTATGTTGTCATAATCTCAGTCAGTGTGTTATAAATATATACATAATATAAATATATAAATAATATACTGTAAATATGGTGTCGCGGTGTAGTCTACTTTTTTCCTGTTTTTTCTAGTGACTAATGCTTGCTATGGAGTTATTAAAAATAATTATTAGGGGTAAAACAAAACAAAAAAACTGTACAGATGGCAAGAACACAGCTACAGTTTTGTTTGGAGTTTTGCTGTTTTCACAAAAATGGTTAAATTATAATCAGTGGTGGTCTATATTAATGTATGTAGTGGTATTAACTAAAGGTAAAAGTAAAATTGCATTTATTTACACATCTAAAATGTTATACCCAAGCATATTAGATTCAGACTTGTTTTTTTTTTTTTTTTATGACCTTTGTGTTGCCTTTCTTTTGTTGTATTTATGTCCTCGGTAAACCTGAGCGATGCAGTGGTGGGAAAGTTTCCCTTAGTTTTGATAAATGACGATCTGACCATCCACATCTCAGCTAGCATTTTTACAGTACTGCAGGATTGATAGAATAGAGGTCAGGTAATCTAATAGGGATTTAAATTGTATCTTTTCTTTTTTTTTTTTCCTGTCAGCACTTCTTTGCAAAAGAACACATTTAAATGCAACCATTTTACAGTCCTGTTATGACAAAGTACATTCTGAAATAAATTTGATCATTTATCATTGTAGTTTGGAGGTTTGTGTCTGCATGTTTTTAGTTGTTTTCCAATAGCTTTAAACAGGCTGTAATAAGAGTTTATAAATATATTCTTGTCAAATTAGTATTTTTTATTGTGTCAGGCTGTAACCACAAATATTAATTTCATGCTCTTATTGTTGCATAAAATGTGATGTAAAAATGCTTTAACAAAAAAAAAAAAAGCATGGTTTTCACCATTTACACATTGGACTTAAAATTCTTATTTGAATTTCCCTTAAACTTTGAGTAGGCCATATGCTTTGAACTCAGTCTTTTCTGGAGTCCTAAGTCTTTAGCACAAACAGATTTTTGTTTTTCCCAGATTTCAACTGGTCCCTTTCTCTTATCAACGATCATATTATCCTGTTAAAGAAAAACATTCCCATGTTGTGATGCTGTTACTGTATTTTCTTATTGTTTCATAATGTAACTTTAAAACAGCTTCACAACTTATTTTTCCTGAACTGTCTTTTGCATTTATTGGTCTTAATTATTAAATTCTTCACTGATGTTGTAATTATATGTATTAATTACATTTTATTTAAGGGTAGCAGAATAAGGGGGACAACAATCTGGTTTCCAGTTGTCTGAAAATGTTAAAACTAGTAATATTTTCCCTTTTATTTTACGAATATTTTATATAAAAATGTGAAAATTTTCCATGAGCAAAAAAATCTTGCATTTGAAGACACTAATATTTTTTCAAAGATAAAAAGCTGCACTGGTGGGGGGGGGCATGTTATATTTCCCACTCCACCACATTTGACCTTGAAATTTCCCTTCATTAGCTGCTTTTTGTGACCTCTCAAAGTTGCCAGTCTGTTAAAGTGGCCTGTCCAAATGTGCGCCCCCTAGCGGAGGAAAATAGGCCTGCAGCTAAAAATTGAAAATAAGGATGAGCGCCATGTCTGATCCTCCTCCTGTGGAATAGAGCGGACCGCGGAGTGATCGTCTTCCGCGGGCCCTGCGGTCCCTTCGGGGTTTCGGTGCTGCAGTCATGGCCGACAGCGCGGGAATTCAACAAGGTTCACCGGCCGTCGGAGCAGCGGGCCTGGTTCCGGCCGCTCCTGGAGCCGCGGGGTCGGAGGGCTCCGGCGCCGCTGGAGGATCCGCACGTATAGCAGCCAAGAAGGCGCAACTCCGCTCCTCTCCTCGGCCGAAGAAACTGGAAAAACTTGGAGTGTATTCATCCTGCAAAGTATGCACACTTTGGCAGACATTGATTCACTGCAGTTTTGATCTTTAAGGGGAGCTTGCTTGGGTTGGCAGCAATAGTTTATTAAATGCAAGCGCAGTAAAAGGAAGCCATTGCATAATTCGTTTTTTTCTGTATTTGAATTTGCATGCAACAGTGAGTTTATGAAAGGATGTTATAAAATGAAGAAAAAACGTTGCATTGTGGCTCCTTAGCAGCGGGCCTGTAAACTGCAGCTCCCTCCGTGTTTTTACAGCGCTACCCTGTTTCTGTCAGGGTGGGGGGTGGGTGCGCGTAAACATTGGCTGCTCCCTTGGTGTCCCTGGCTGTGGGCAGAGGCGCTGCGTGTTTCTGCGTGTTAGTGCGGAGATCACCGCGCTTTCACCGCCAGGCCCGTCGGTCAGAGTAGATCTGGATGTATATAAGCGCGTCTGTGTGGCTTATGCAGCTATGAACCACTAACAGGGGACTGGGGTCTTTGTTTTGACAGGATGACAGCTGCTGGAGTGGGCGGAGTTTGTTGTGGTTCCAATGCGCATGCGCAGAATAGCCCAGCCCAGCTGACCCTCTGCCCAACCCTGTGTTTACCTTAGTGCACAGGTTTACCTCTGTAAATAAATATTACACCTTTGTTTATTTCAGTAATTCAAGTCAATAAGGATACTAATGCAATATAAAGCGTCACATTTAGTTTTTTTGAAATGGTTCTATTTTTAGTTTTAAAGATTTTTGGTCACAGCTCATGAAAGAAACTTAAAAAAATTCTATGCACAGATTTAAAAAAAATAGCTAAATTTAAATGTGTGAAATCTAGCATTGAAATTGTAATTTCTATTTGCAAACTTTACTCAGATCTGTATTGATTTTAAGGCAAATTTATGAAGAACCATACTTCAGAATTAGCTCTCCTAAAAACCTACATCGCAGCGATAGAGTTGATTCTTTCCCGGTATCATAATCCTCATCACCGTGCAGGGGATCAAGACATCTCACCTGGTCAGCCGGGCCAACAATGCCCCTAACGACTCCCCCTTTCAGAGGCACAGACCAGTATCGGGTATTTCAGTCTATCAAAGACCTCAAACTGTCCTCATTTCTAAAGCGTGGACCTGTTCTTCCAGTTCAGTTTGCATGTTTTCTAAGCCAAAACAAGTCTTTATTGGGATACTCTATAAAGCTTGGAACTCAATGCTAATTATGACTTTTTGAATTGTAAAAGCTTCCTCGATGGGAAGCGAAACGTCTTCAAACTTGGAAAACAAAGTCCAGTGGATTGTTTTTTTTAACTTTTTATTCCTATTATAGACTCCTATTACAGAACCCAAGTTTTGCGTAAGAGAACCAGCTGAGGTCCACAGTAATGCTTCAACAGGCAGTGTTGATTTAGTCCAAAGCACAGCTGTTAAGAAGATATGCTTTGCTTTGCAGGGAAGCTATGTGGAGATTCTATAGATTAATTTTCCCAGTAGGGTCTTACCCACGCTACCAAAAATGCTGCCACGTTCAACAACTCTTTTACTATTGTATAGGGTGGCCAGGAAAGGGATCTGACCTAAACCTCTCTATTAGATGTAGTCAAGAGGAGATGAGCTTAGGGTCACCAGCATCTGATTTTCTGGGTTGGTGGCCTTCATGAAAAGCAGCACTGGTGCAATAATTTGTTAAATAAAAGTCTTGCTTTACATTGGCATGCTTTACAAAGTTTGACACTTTTCTGTTACTTTGTTTAAAAATTTTGAGACACTCATTTTCCAATAGCTGTGAACCATTACCATCCAAATTATTGGAGATGGATTCTTAATTTATTTCACTGTGTAATCATTCTATACTGATCTCTCTGCATGTTTTTATTTTTTATCTCAGATTCAGAAAAAAAGTGTGTTTTATTGCAGCTGATACATGCAGTCCGTACTAATTTGAGTGATGTTTTCTTTAGGCTGAAGGAGCCTGTAAATGTAACGGCTGGAAAAGTCAGAACCCGCCTCCAACGCCTCCTCAAACTGACCAGCAGTGCAGCATAGTAAACCTGCAGGAACCTTGTCGGAGCTGTTCTCACACTTTAGGTACTAAATTACTAACATGTATCTACAGCATTTAGTAGCTCAGTATGGTGCCCGGGAACTGACATGGGGGGGAGAAATATATAATGTGCAAAGAGGACTTTATTTGGTGTTAAAATTATTTGGGAATTTAGCCTTAATTCCCTTTTTATAATTCCATCTTTCAGTGTCCAAAGTCATGCATTTTCCATCTACATTCTCCCTCGGTGAAGGCAGCAATGACTAAATTTTATTCCACAAACACCTGCTGAGTGGCCCCTCACTGACTACTGGTACTACTGGAAACTGACTCCCAAATCAGCCTTTTTTTTTTTAGCTATAGAAACCAGTGAGGCCCAGAACTTTAAGGGGGGAGCCTATAAGCTTCACCCTTATCGCTGGTGGGTTAAAAGATTGAAGTTGATATTTTACAGTCCTGCACACATCGGTGCATCTGGTCACCATTCATACCTGTCTGTGAATATTTTATTAAATTGAAATGCTTCACTAATGAGAAATCAGAATCTCTTTATAGTTTAACCTTTACCTAAAATAAGACTTGATCAACTATCTTTGTCTATCATGTTTTTTGTATATCTGCTACAGAAGGTGCACTGTAGGAGCATTATGTTTTAGAATTTTGCAAACTATATACTTATGGTGCAGCCACAAATAAACATATCCTGAGAACAATTTTGAAGCACCCATTAGTTTTTTTGAGAGAACAAATGAGTATTTTGTGCATACGTTTATGCATGTTTTTTCCCATGTCAGATCCCGGGCTCCGTAGTTCAGTGTTGATGCAATCTGGAAAAAAAATTAATTGCTTAAAAATCTCTGTTTTCCTCCCAGGTGATCATGTGACCCATCTTGAAAATGTTTCAGAGGAGGAAATGAACAGACTACTAGGTATTGTTTTGGATGTGGAGTATTTATACACCTGTGTTCACAAAGAGGAGGATGCTGACACCAAACAAGTCTACTTCTCACTCTTCAAAGTAACCTCCTGCCTTCCTCATCATTATATATCCTTATGTATTACTTTAAAAACACCATTTTGAAAACTGCATTGCACAGGAACAAAAGATGTTTTTTTTTTCTTGCTTTCCTACAGCTGTTGAGGAAATCTATTCTAGAGATGGGTAAGCCGGTGTTACAGGTACAAGAGAGTCCTCCATTTGAGAAGCCCAGCATTGAACAGGTAAAGTACAGCTTCTCGCCGGGAGACAACATTGCATTTATTAAAGCTGGCATCACCTTATTGATCTATAATCCTTTGTTTATCGAAAAAGGGAGTAAACAACTTTGTCCAGTACAAATTCAGCCACCTACCATCAAAAGAAAGACTAACTATCATGGAGCTGGCCAAGATGTTTCTGAACCAGATCAACTACTGGCAGCTGGAAACGCCCTCTCAGAGACGCCAACGGGTACCGACTGATGACGTAGCTGGATACAAAGTCAATTACACAAGGTTGGGCCAAGCAAATTTAACCTCCCTTGGCGCAATGTACTTTGCCAATTCTAGAATCTGTTTATTTGCTTTTTGTAGATGGCTGAGCTACTGCAACGTGCCGCAGTTCTGCGATAGCTTACCTCGCTACGAGACCACGCAGATCTTCGGTAGAACGTTGCTGCGCTCTGTATTTACTGTGATGAGAAAGCAACTGCTGGAGCAGGCCAGACAGGAGAAGGACAAGCTTCCTCCAGAGAAACGCACTCTCATTCTCACACACTTTCCCAAGTAAGTTTAAATATCTGAGATCAAACACACAAAAAGAAGCCATGACGAGTGAAAGAGGATCCATGCCAGCGGTGTTCAAACTACAATGGCCCTGAAATATGAAAAAAATGTTTGCACTGTTCAGTTGCAGACATTCCCAATCCTCACACAATAAAATATATTCCTTTTTAGTTCACATTAATATATTTATATAGCAGTAATTCAAAGCAAAGTTCATTTTTTTGTCAGTTTACAAAACAAATGTGTCAGTTCCAGGTCATCTAAAATATAGAATCCAGTTTGGTCCAAATTCTAATCATTCCAGGTTACTGAAGTACAATCAGCCTCTGTAGATACAGTACAGTGAAATCATGTGGTCAATGACAAAATAATATATATGCAAAGAAGAAAAACTGACTGGATAAATTCATTGGTTCCCATTCCTGTGGAAGCATGTGACAACAGTAGCAAGAAACCACTCATATCAACAAATCCACCTCATGCTACCTCCAGTTAAACTCTTATATATGGGAGCTTCTAGACACGAACAAGGTCCTAGAAACATACTCTGCAAAAACTAAAACTCTAAATACTTAATTTTTTAAAATTAAGTGCATTTTCCTTGGATTTGAGAAGGTCAGTAGGTCAATTTACCTATGGGATATGATGATGTACATTTAAAATAAGAAAAGAAAGAACTCCTTTTATGTTATTTCAATTGCACTATATCCAATTATCTTATAAGGGGAAAAACATGCAAACTCCATGCAGAAAGACCCCAGGCCAGTAATCGAACATGGGACCTTCTTGCTGCTAGGCAACAGTACTACTGTGCCATCAAGCAGTGTTGCTATATTGAGACCTAATTTCATATGCCTATCAGGGTTTTTGATTAATCCAATTTTGCACATCATTCTTTGATGTCACTAACTTAAAACACATTTATTGATGCTTTAAATGGAAAAAAAAATAAAGGGAATGTTAAGTCAACGACAACAATAGCTTCCTTTAGGAACAAAACACCTTTTTGCTGCAGTAATAGATGAGAGGTTTCTCTTTGAAAGTAAAAGGAATAGAGTACTCATAGAAAAAAAGACAACAACAAACAGTGAAGAACGTTGCCAGAGAATTTTGTGCAAAGTAGTTGCAGCAACAGGTCTGTCAAGGTCTCTATCTAGGCAAGAGTTAAATACAAAAGTACAATGCAAAGGGAACAAAAAACAAAACAAATCATGAAGGGTGAATAAAGTTAATATCTAAAATTGCTCACCCAGGGATGTCCTCCAGCTTTAGACAGAATTGCATTGAAGGAATACACATTTAATGTACATTTTAAATGCGGTAATGATCTAGTTGTGTGTTTCTCTGTCAGATTCTTATCCATGCTGGAAGAGGAGGTTTACAGTCACAGCTCTCCCATCTGGAGCCAAGAGTTCATGGTGGGAGCAACTGGAGGGCAGATTCCCATCCACACAGGTAATGCAAATCATCAAATACATATTTGTTACTAATACAGTATTAATATATGCAATAAAACATTGTTGGGATTGTTTTCACTTTACGTCTTTACTTTTTCTAAGCAGTGATAAGTGCTCCCCCGGTAGCTAGGCCCATATACTACAGCACCAGTCCCGTGTCAGTGGACCAGTCGACCTGCGGCAGCCCTGCCAGGAAACTCGCATCTGTTCTGGAATCAAACCCAGGTATCACAGATGGACCTTAGGTTTTTATTCTAAATAATGAAACATCAGTAATTGGTTAGGCTCTTTCCTTTTGCCTACTTTAACCATAATATATAAGGAGATAATGATAATAAAATTGGATTTGTAAAAACTTCCCCATGAACTGAAATTTACCTTACTGTACATGTTCAAGTGTTGGCCACAAATTTGCTAAAAAGAGGAGATTGATGTCTGTTTAAACGTATAAATGAACTATGGGTGTTTTTAAAATCCCTTTTTCCTGGGTTTGCACTGGTCTCACAGTTGGAGAGAAGCGTAAAGCCTCAGAGCCACTCCATCATGAAGAGAACAAGAGACCCAAGGTGGTGGGCGACATCCCTATGGACCTCATCAATGAAGTCATGGCGACCATCAGTGACCCTGCCACCATTCCAGAGGTAACCTTTGAATAAACTCTGTAAAATACAAAAACTTTATAAAAAAAAGTTTAAAAATATACTATAGGGTATATAACAATACAAAGCTGCCATTTCAAATCAACATGAGGATATTAGTGATCTCGTTTTTATTTAAAATCTCCAGAGTGGATACTTTTGGGATGTGAAAATGTGTCTAGCTCTTTTACAGCTTCTTAGGTTCTTTTTGTGCCCCATAAACTTTAAAAAGGGAACAGACTGAACCCATACATAAATGTTTTAGGAGACAAAGCTGTGACCTTGAAACTTTAACCGTCACTCTGCCATGTTCATTTGCACTCATGTTGGTTTGTGTTATTCATCTTTTGATCAGGTACAAAATCTAATATGTTCTGTATTTTACAATCATGGCCCCAAGTCTATTCCATGAAAGATTTTTATGTATGTTGTAAAGCTGAGGTAATGGATTTGGGATAATTCTACAAGCGTTTATGCAGATGTTACTCTAATTGCTAAAATCTGCACCAGTACATAAATCAATGTCCCATTTATCGGGAAGAGGTGGGATCCCTAAATCTACTTTTGGAAGGTAAATGTAGAGTTTTGAGAACTGCTTTAGTGGTTGAATTTTAAGAAAGTTAGGAAATTCTATATTTAAATAATAGTAAATATGAACTACATAACAGCGAATGGCTCAATACGTCTAGAAATAAGTTAGAGGAAGAATGAACAATTGGAAAGTACATTCTAATTTATCGAATACAACTGCATTTCTTTTGGGAAAAAAAATCTGTGATCATTGGGAATCTTTTGATAAAAGTTTTATTATTAGAAATTATAACGCTCTTTCACTGGGGTACAATCTACTTTGTGTTGCTCTATTCGTATTGTTCTCCCTTAAATAAGGCCTCCTTTATCAACCCGTATAAGGTTAATATGCATTTTGTCTTTTAACCAAAGGAAACGACAGTTAAAGACATTTTAAAAGATATGTTATGAGAACAAGATGATCGTTTATATTTTACACTTATCCTCCTTCCTGGTCAGACAAGTCTGCTGTCTGCTCATTCTGCTCGTGACGAAGCTGCCCGCCTCGAAGAGCGGAGAGGGGTGATCGAATTCCACGTCATCGGAAACTCGCTCAATCAGAAACCCAACAAGAGGATCCTGATGTGGCTTGTCGGCCTCCAGAATGTTTTCTCACACCAGCTTCCTCGGATGCCCAAGGAATACATCACCCGACTGGTGTTTGACCCGTGAGTGTTTGTGCTTTATTATCCTCACCCTTGCACAGGAATAGGTCACAATGAGGACACCTGTGTCTCTTCTCTTCCAGGAAACATAAAACACTGTCTCTGATAAAAGATGGCCGCGTCATTGGAGGGATCTGTTTCAGGATGTTCCCGTCGCAGGGTTTCACGGAGATCGTTTTTTGTGCAGTCACATCTAATGAGCAAGTCAAGGTGGGAACAGTCCTTAACTTATTTCAATGTGTGGTGTGCTTTCTAGTGCCATTTATAAGTATTTGCTGCTAAGCTGTCTTTGCTCTTAAATATATCAGGCCATGAATGTAATATTAGTATCAGGCATAGATAACCTGAATAAATACTTGGAATTAAAAAAAAAATTGATTCTGTCAAATATCGCAATATTTCATTAGAAGATATTTGTATCATTTCAACATACAGATATATATATTAGATGATATAGATTCAAAATATGGCCGAATGGATCTTTCAAAGTTTTACGTATTTATAGGTGAGCATCCTTTTCATTCTTTTTTTACATAACTGTTAAACTTACAGCCACTAGTTGGCAGTGCACTGCCCAAGAGCCCATTGTTCAGCTCCTACAGAGCAACTACAAGATCCTGTGAGATGTTTTACAGCTATATTATTATGAAATCGCAATATATTGTTGTTGTTCATGTATCTGTATATATTGGTATAAATCATATCGTATTATGTATTGTACCACCAAATTTCTCATACAGAATCTGTCTATATACATATGCAGTGTTGGCGTTCTCTGAATACGTTCTTATTTTTATTAAACGGTAAACTGAACAGATCAGTTTTGAAGTAATGAACGTGAACAAGAGCGACGTTCACTCTGAGAATAATGATGTATATATTTTTAGAAATAAAATTCCGGTCTCTTGCATAAATCCCAAAGGGAAATATCCGGCAATCAGATCAGGTCATTAAGATCAAGATAAGTTTAAAGGAGGACATTATCAGAGGTATACCTGCAATTAGAGGTATGCCTGCTAGACCACCTTTGAATGGTTAAACAAAACAGCATAGTGAGTTTTTAGCCAAGGCAAATTCTTGAATTAAATCTGATTGAAATGTGTGGCAGCAGATGTTAAACAGCTAATGTTTGAAAATAAATCTATATAGACAAGTAGCATAAATGTCCTCCTCAGTGATGTAAATCACCAACTGATTTTGGTTGAGGGGCCAAATACTGCATCCTACTGGGCTGGTTTGGATAGATTTTTCCTCTTAAAGGGAAATGATTTTAAAACTGCTGTTTGTATTTACTCAGGTAATCTCTCTATTATTCTATTTGGTGATCTGTAACCTTAGTTTCAGATCACGAAGTGTCTCAAATCAGAAAAATAAAAACAGAAGTCTGAGCAACTTTGGTGTTACATATGAGTCTGATCTTTACTTGTTGCTTGCAGGGTTATGGGACTCATTTAATGAACCACCTAAAGGAATATCACATAAAACATGAAATACTCAACTTCCTCACTTATGCTGATGAGTACGCAATTGGGTACTTCAAGAAACAGGTAGGTCTATATAGGTGAATATATAGGAATATATTTAAAATAGCTTCTTTTTACGCAACATAAATCCTGCCGCTTCCGTTAGAATTGGTCCTATCCTACTAATCCTTTCTATCATTAACAGGGTTTCTCTAAGGACATTAAGGTTCCCAAGGCCAAGTATGTGGGCTACATCAAGGACTACGAGGGAGCAACGCTGATGGGCTGCGAACTCAACCCCAGCATCCCTTACACAGAGTTCTCTGTTATCATCAAGAAGCAGAAGGAGGTACTTAGGTGAATATTTAACCAAGTATTGCTTGCCTTTCACCCCCATTCACACCCAGCGTCTCTTGTGTCTCTGTCAGATCATCAAGAAGCTGATAGAAAGGAAGCAGGCCCAGATCCGAAAGGTCTACCCGGGGCTGTCCTGTTTTAAGGACGGGGTCCGGCAGATTCCCATCGAAAGCATTCCTGGCATACGTAGGTTACCGGGAACCATAGAGCACATAGAAAAACAAGCTCACACTAAGCTGTTATGAATGCTTTAATGACAATGGATGTTTTTTTTTGTGGGGTGGTTATTTAAACAGGTGAAACTGGCTGGAAGCCTGCAGGCAAGAGGTAAGAGAATGAGTTCAGCTTATTAAGACCATCAACAGATGATTTTTAAATTGATTTTACACAATGGAAATAATTAGGACTTTTGATCTACAACAGTAAATACTTTAAATAAAAGTGATAGTCTAGGCTTTTTTTTGTGTTTTATTGTTTTATTTACCGGTATATGTTAAACAATACAGCTAAACAAATGCATAAAACATTTATATTTATTTATACAACCCTTTTTCTTTTTTGTTGTAGCAAGGAATTGAAGGACCCTGACCAACTTTACAGCACCCTGAAAACCATCCTGCAGCATGTGAAGGTGGGCCTGCAGTGTTTTTTATTTCTCATTTTAATTTCCAGGATCAAGTTTCTAAAGTTCTCAGGCCCTTTTCTGCTCATTGCAAAGGAGACGGTCAAAAGCTCACACTATATTTTTCTATAGATAGTTTCACTGCAGCCAGGCTTAAAATATAGAAACTTTAATGTCTGTGAGATTCAATTTAAATCTGAGGAGTATTTGGGTTTTGGAGAGCTAAATCATTTGTATCTTGTATGATATCCTTACGTAACCATGATGCATATAACTCCTACCCAGAAAAATTAGCAAGCGTTAAGCACGAAAGGATCTGGAAAGAATCCAAGAAAGATGCAAAGAGTCATTAAATTTTCTTTGTGTTTTAGAGTCATCAGAACGCTTGGCCCTTCATGGAGCCTGTGAAAAAAACAGAAGCACCCGGTTACTACCAAGTAATCCGCTTCCCCATGGGTGAGCAACTCATGTTTACAGAGACATGAAAATGTTTCCCTCTTATGTTTGCGTATCTTTTTTGCAATTAAATGTCTTAAATCATTAAAGAGACTTAAGTAATATTAACCACTTTTAACACAAGAAGCTGTTTTTTGGTTATAAGAATTACGGAGTAAGGGCAAAAGCTATTCAAAATAACCTTTCTATATGAAATTGTAATAACTCCCTAAACCCAATGACTAGCTCTGCAACCCGTTCTGCAACAGGTACCTTCAATAATCGACTGACGATGAGTCTTTTGTATCATGTGGGGGAATTTGCCTTATCACACTATAGCAATTCTATCAGGTTTAAGTCTGGACTTTAACTAGACCACTTCAGAAATTTCTTTTTTTCTTTATCTATTTAGAGGTTCATGGATGTCTTTCTGTTACGGAGCAGAATTCATGGTTTCATTCACCAAATGATCCAGGTCCTGAAGAAGCATAGCAGCACCAAACCATCCCACTACCACCACCATGTTTTCATTTTGGTACAATGGCATGTGCTTAATAAACTGAAATGCTAAGGTGGTTCCATACCAAATGTAACGTGAAACACAATTTACACAAGTTTTTTTAAAAGTCTCATCCGTTTATAGAACGGTTTCCCCAAAATCTTTAAGATTAAATAAAAAAAAATCAGTGGTGTGGTGTGTATATATATATATATATATCTATAAGCTCAACTCATATGTTGCTTTTCAGTAAGCAAATTGAAAGGCATCCTTGTGACGTATACCGTGAGCAAAGGGGTAATCTAACCCACAACTCTCTAACTGATTGCTTTGATCAGCTTTTCAAAGCTCCCTCATAGATCTAGCAGTGATTTGTGTTCTTGCTTAATTTGTGACCTTCCTGATTATTAATATATAATATAATTGTACATGGTTGTTGGTGTAATTTCTCAACATTGCTCCATTTACTTAGGGATTAGTAGCCCTTTTCAGACTGATGGATTTTCTTGTTTTAAATTTCCTGAGATCAGGGTGTGATGTGTTGTTTTTAGCCTAGCTTATGTGGTTAGACAGGTTCTGTTCAACTGATCAGTTCCGTCTATAGATGTGGCAGAGAGTTTATCTGAACTCAGCTTCCTAGAAAGTGGTTAATTGTATTCAACTTGTTTTAACAAGAGGAGAATAACTAATTCACTCAGCACTTTGCTCATCTGAAAAGCCTTTTCTGTAATTGTGTCATTTGAGAAGGTTAATTGTATTTACTCTGGTTATATTTGTCTGGTACTGTAGATCATTTTAACCTCAACTTCAACAAAAAATAACTTTGTATACATCGTTATCAAACAATAAGGACAATTTCTTAGTCGTGTGTTGCCTGTTAAAATGTTTTTATCCACAGACCTTAAGACGATGAGCGAGCGCCTGAAGAGCAGGTACTACACAACGCGGAAGCTTTTCATGGCCGACATGCAGCGCATCTTCACCAACTGCCGGGAATACAACGCTCCTGAGAGCGAGTATTACAAGTGTGCCAATATACTGGAGAAGTTCTTCTACACCAAGATCAAAGAGGCAGGTCTCATCGAGAAGTAGATGAAAGATGAGAGGTTTTTCTATCAAGGCTCTTGACAGAGGTTCAGTTAGCGGATAATCCAGAGGAAAAGAAAAAAAGATTACTGGTTGTGGAGTTGGTTTCAGAATCATATGTTATGTTTAATGCATGCTAGCCTTCATCCTAAATCAGATTTTTTTTTGAAAGATCGCCCCATAGGGATGGAAACACTGAACACTGACTTTCTGATGGTTAAGCATTGCAGAAGAAACTATGGTTCTATTATTTGTTCTAGAAAAAAACTCAAAGCGTCGACAGCTGATTGGATATTTTTCCCCGTATCCAACTTCACCTCCTCAGTTTTTCCATACTGCCTCTTAGTGTCTGCCTTTTCCTCTTTTTTTGACTTGTCAAATGAGAGGTTGTCATGTGAAGGAGCCAAATGTTCGATGGATTGAAGTGTTACCTGTGAGCAAAACAAGCTTTGCTGTCTACCTACGTATAAACATGTACAGATCTGAGGTTCAAGCTTCTCTGATGAGTTCATCCTGCCAAAAGAGGAATATAACCTTTACATTTTGTACATATTTGAAATCATTTTTAAGCACTTATGCCCTATGTATATTTTAAAAGCATATACCTAAAACATATTTTCCCCCATTAACCCATAGAGGGCAGTTTAGACTATCAAAATGCACTTTCCCCCCCAAAGTATTTACATGAATTTTACCCTCTTTTCTCTCTTTATTCTACTTATGGATTACACTGTCAACTCAGAACTACTTTAATAATCTAGAGTTTATTCTTATTTATGTGCTTTAAATCAGAAGAATAATGTTTAAGACAAAGTCTTAATTTATTATCTTATTTTTGTCCTGCAGATGGAGATTGATAACTTTATACTTTGGAGATAAATGAAAAGATTGTGCAATACGATGTAGTTTTGCTGTTTTGTAAAAAAAGGTGTTTGTACTTTCCAAACTTTAGGAAAAATAACCTTTTGTAATGTCTGTAAAAATATATTTCATGCTCTTTGTACAATTGGTTTTATCGACCTAGAATTAGCCTATTTTGAAGACTAAATAAAACAAATATAAGGCTAACGTGTTGTTTTCTTTATATGTATGTTTCAGAACTTTATTGTTGCACACAGAAAATCAGAGATTTAATACATAGATCATTCAGGAAACTATTAAAACTGAGTCAAAATTATAATCTTACCATCTTTCAAGATTATTAAGCTACATTTATGTAAAGAAAAACACAAAAAAGGGAATTTATGAAGAGAAAACAAACTGATTGAAGTTACTTTAAAAAGCAGCCTTCAGAGATGAAAAAAAAACATCCTCTGAAGAAGTAAATCTATACAGAAAAAAAAAAAAAGCAGTCTTCAGTGACATCCAACGAAAGACTCATTGTACTTCTCAAATGGCTGCTTGCTGCACGACTTCCTTGAATTTTGCACAGACCTCCTACCAGGCTTCTGTTTGAAAACAGGGGAGCGGAGGAACTGCAGGTCTGTGAACTTGTCGCCACGGCGAAGTTTACTGGTGGGAAGTAACAAAAACACCACTGGTTACAAGTGTTTTCTTAATAAAATATTCAAAATGATTGAAACGATGAACTTACGCATTCAATGATGGTTCTTTATAGTCGACGACCATGGTGCAGCGCCGTTTGCGAGCGAGGACAGGAGCATCAGAGCGGCGTGGACCACAGGAGAAATTACGATAGGCTGCAGGGGACATATTGGTCATATCACACAGACTTAAGCCCCGCCCAGCTGACCTTACACCAACACCACCTGTAGAAATGTGAGGGGGAAAAAAAATGGGATGTAGAAAAAAGCCCATAGCTATAGGAATTCACAAAGAAGAACACATAGGGTGACAAAACGACAAATGACACCAAAGAGGAAAAGGAAAAAAATAAAATGACTTTTTCATGAGAGTTGATTAGGACCTACGTTTTTGGCTTGTTTTAACCCTTGGAGTTTGACTTGATGACAGAGAAGAACTCTCACTAGAGGCTTCTCCATAATTGGACAGCACAGTGTCTATTCTCATCATCTCTGCCTCGACCAGAGGACTGACGACAGGGAAACAGTCTTCTGCTCCATCCCTTTGAGGCTCTAAAAGAAACGACTTTTAGGTTGCTATAATCGCCACATGCATGCTCCACAAAATAGATTTAAAACAACAAAGATCAAATAAAAACAAAAGACTGCTATTTCCATATTATACTGTGAGTTCAAACAACCCCCTAAAAACTATTGGACATTATGCATCATCAGTAACCGGTTGGGAAACATTTGTTAGAATTTTAAAATGCTCAACAGCTAAAATGTAGATCAGAAAACTGAAATTGTTCTACCTGGATTTCTACACTATTTTGGGTCACAATTTTAAACTCAAACTACATAAAGAGGCCCAAAAAATGTATTGCAAATGTGTTTTTTCTTTTTCCTAATGGTTTAACTTTAAATAAAGAACCTGTAAAAAGCACAGACCACAGGTAAGACAAAAGAAGTAATAAAGTTACAGCTTTAAATTAGGAAATGAAACAGGATAAAGACAAACCCTGATCCAACTTAAAGTTATTTTCCCTAAATACTTTTGGAAACCACATGAAACCCAGGCTATGGTTGACTGAGGTTTACATTAATCAAGTTTTTACTCACCCTGTTGATTTTCTTGATCAGGCGGCTGATTAAGATCTTTCTCCTTTCCAGAATCTGTAACCTTCAAGTCTGACTCTGCATCCCTGAAGACTAATATTTACAAGAAATATTTTAAACAATGCCCATGAAACAACAAAAGAACCACTAACTCTACAGTAAACACATACCATAGATCTTTGGAGTTGGAGGGATGTTCTCCTTTGTCCTGACAACCTGTGTGCGCTGGCCTCTACGAGTGGTCAAGGCTTTGGTTTTAGAACTGGACCGTCTTCCCCTTGTCTTCTGAGGGATGTACAGGCTGTCCTCTGATTCTGTTGACGGTGACGAGGAGCTGGATTCGCTCTGTTTGGGAACAGCTGCAGAGACTTCAGCTTGGGTCTCTTCATTAATGGGTGTAGCTGCCTGATTATCCTCAACTTTCGCCTTAAACGGCGTGATGTGAACCGTCTCTTCACAGTCAAAGTCAAACGTGTCATTGAATCCCAGCGAGGTGTTAAGCTTGTTGCCCTGCGGAGGAGCTGCTTTGCACCGTTTGGCTGAGCGGTCCCGACTTTTGGAGCGGGCTCTGGGCTTGGGATTCTCCCAGGGCTTCTTTAACGGGACCCGATCGGGTTTCCGTCCTCTTTCAGGTTTCCGTGAAGCTGGTTCTGGTTTAGAGCGAGGCTGTTGCTTGGTTTGTTTCCTCCTGGGCTGTGGGTGCGATTTTTTAGGACGGACTGGCTCAGGGGTAGAGTGATGCACCTCATCAGTGTCACTAACATCTTCTGCCTCAGGTTCTGGCCTTCGGTGGCTCTGGTTCAGATCTCCACTGTCGACGCGAATAGGGCTTGGTAACACAGCTCCGAAATCAGCAACTGGGTCAGTGTTGCTCTGCGGCCTTTGTTCCTGCACAAGCTCAGATCGCCTCCTGCTTCTTCTATTGACCCGCCCACGCCTCACGCCCACCGTGGACGGCAGCGTGATCTCCTTGTCACAGTTAATGTGCTCTTTCCTTTTAGAAGGCGGGGAATCTGTGGAGAATGGGTTAAAAATCAGATATAAAAGTTTGATTATCCGTCACTTTAATTAATACAGAAGACAACTGCTGAGAAATAGAAATTAAAATAGTCTATCATGCAGTTTATAGCATTAAATGAAAGTCTTTTACTTCTATTCAGCTGTGTTACTTTTAATTAAATATGAGGGGGGAAAAAAAGACTATATTAGTGATATTGTGTAAACCCTATAAAATCTGACTTAATTAAGCCTAAAAAGATCGTATTAAGTTTTAACCTAAAAAATATTGAAAAATGATCGAAAACATGGCCCAGCTTGTCGACCGAAAGTATGCAACACTTCTAAAAAGTTATGGTTTTAAGATATGCTCCATTTTCTATAGAGATGCACGGTTCCAATTTTCCTTCTCTCGATCCAACCCAATACCTGGGCGATATCAGATACCGATCCAACCGTTGGATGAATGAACCATATATCTGGCCATGTGAGTAAAGGCTTTCGTTTTGACGTAAACGTTGTTAAAAAGGTAACAAATTTACACAGATATAACTGTACTTTATATTATTTACTAACAAATAAGCAGCAAAAATAACTAAAAAAAAAAACACTTTCCATGTTGAGTGCACTGGATTGGATATCCGATATCAAATCTCCAATATCCGATCCAGGTATCGGATCGGTGCATCTCTAATTTTCTAATTACAATTAATATACATTTTTTTTTTTAAATATTTAAATTGCTTTTCATGCAATACTATAGAAAGTGCTGGAGTTATTTTGTTAGTTATATCAATATTTCTGTTAACCAAAAAAACAAAAAAAAACAATGAATGGTGGTCATATTGTCAGAACTACAAGAGTATTCTAGGTCTGAAACAATGAATTGGATTAATCAATTACTGAAATAATCTTCAACTAATTAAACAATCGATTAATCCAGTGGTTCCCAAAGTGTGGGGTGCGCCCCCTAGGGGGGGGCGCAATGCCATTGCAGGGGGGGCGCGGGAAGCGGTATGGATGAATGAAGAAAAAAAAAAAAAAAAAAAAAAACAGCGCTTGCTTGACTGAGCATAATGGACAGTTGTGACACTGCAACCCAGATTTGAGAAGATCTACAGCAAAAAGCAGGCTCACTACAGCCACTGAAAAGATGGGAGGATTAAAGTACAAAGAAAAAACTCTCAGGGAGCTGTTCAATGTTTTCACTCCATTTTGCACAGAGGCTTTTTTAATGTATAGATTATAGCAAAGTTAAATATTGTAACAAATAAAAAAAAAAAGAAATATGTTTAAAATAACACAGACAACAAAGAATCCTCTTCTAATCTACAGTATAGAACTATGAAAAAAATACAGTTACACAAAAGTGTTCCACTGTAAAGATGGTGTAGTTTGTTTTGTTGCAACCTGAAGTGTGAAATAAACTTCAGTGGAGTTTGAAAACAAAATATGTGTATAGATTTATTATATCTGGTTGAATGACTTTTTTTTTTTTTTTTTTGGGGTCAGGAGGGGGGGGGGGTGGGCGTGGAAATTTTATTGTACCGTAATCCAAAGGGGGGCCCAGAAGAAAATCTTTGGGAACCACTGGATTAATCGGATTATAGACTCTAAAAGATGCCTTTAGCTGACAGAGTGATCCACTTAGAGCAGTAATTATACCAAAATTGTAAAATAATATATAAATATTTTGAATTTAAAGCAAACGTTTTTGTTTGCCAATATGTTCTATCCAGAACTCCTCAAGTGGAAAAGTTTTAGTTTCACCTGGTTTAATTTCATAAAAAATATTTTTTAAGGAACCTTTGGCTATTTGATTATTAATTTAAAAAAAAAACAGATTAATGAACTTGCAAAATAAGTTAATATAAATAGTTAGTTGCAGACCTAGAGTATTCTTCAACATTCTTAAGAAAATACCGTTTTGTTATTGAGCTATGAGCAGAAACAGTTGACCGTAAGTTGGTGACGTGAGCAGCCAGCCCCACTTATATTTTTTAGCAGCTTATGACACCTATAGGTTACTCTATGAAGATTGTTAAAAGAGGAATAAATAGAATACATTTGGCCAATGCTTATTCATTATTTTCCTTATAACAACAGACAGCAATACATCTACCTGTACTAGTAACTGACTATTGAGAAATCTATTTTAGCAATGACAAAAAAAACTAACAAAACCTGAACAAATTGGTGAAGCATCACACATGATGAGTGGATCGAGCTGCTGGCTGCTTCTCTTCCTCCTGGGAATTAAAACAAGACAAATGCCAACAATAAACACAGAATAAAGGAGGTATAGTGATGCTCCAATCCATCAGTGTTTGAGAAGTTAATAGCTGATCATCAGATTAACTGAAAACAATAATTTAAACTCACCTTGTTAAAATCTGGTTGTTTTGAGTTTCCAATTGGATCCCTGTTTGTTTCGTCTAAATTAAAACACAAACAAACACAGCATTGCAAAAATACAATAAAATTATATTAACTTACTGGTGAAGTGTGACATCTGGACATCTTAAATAAGGAAATTGAACATGTTTCAAGAACAAGCAAGGGATCCTCAGAATGTACCTGTGAAGCACTTGCTGCCAGCACTTCCTGTTCTTTGAGTTTCCTCTTCAGCAGAAGGAGGTGAATGAACAAAGCTTGTTGTTCTCTTTTCAGTTGCAGGATCACCGCATTGGCCTGCCTCACTTTCTCCTTCTCAGCTTGTAGGGCCTCAGCCAGCGCCTTATTGTTCTGCTGCACACTTTTTAGAATGGTGCTGGCAGAACTGGGCGCTAGGAGAAAGTTCAGATCTAAACCATTGTTTTCCAAAGTCAATATATTAAAAATATATATATATATATATTTAAAGAAAACTGTAAATTTACCTAAAATTCTAAACAAAAGCAAACTAAGTTAGACTATTTAACTACAATTTTTTATGGATTTGCATGATCTTTGTCCCATATATTTTTGTTTTGGATGTATTCATCATAGATAAAAATCTCACACCGCCCCCCATACCTGCACCATGGAGCGTTATCACAGATCCTTCCTCCCAGCAGCTGTAAGACCTTCTAACCATCACTGTTCCCAACAACCTCAATAAGTTGTTACATTCATGCTGATTTTGCACAGTTTCTATCTTAGTCAGGTAAATTATATGCTGCTGTCATTTAGCAAATCTCTGATATTGCAGCAATTTTCAAATATCCATTTGTTAGGATAATTATCATTGATGATGTGCGAGTTTGTTACACCTTAATATTAACTGCCTGTTGCATGTCAGAATTGATGTTTTCCACAATAGTTTATCTAATTAAGAAAAACTAAACTCTGTCTGAATATACAGTTATAATCTTCAATCTGTACGTGGCAAAGATTTGGAAATGGAATGAGAGCAGTGTCCATCAGCTAAGAACGAAGTGTAATATTTTGATAAGGCTGGAGCGATGGATGTCCAATCATCTGCTAACGTGTATGATGTGATATGTAAGACTAGAGATGTATAAAATGCCTTTTCAACTGTTAATCTGGGCCACTTCCTGAGAGGTGAGCAGCTGCCTTCAGTAAACTATAAGCAATTTCTTTATTCTGAGTAAGATTACAATTGATATCAAAATCTGTTGTCATGTCTCCTGATTATTTAATACATATATGTTATGAAGTGTTATTTAAAGAGTTTGTCCCTATTGATCTCTTTTCAGCAAAAAGAACAGGAGAGGTAGAGCCTCAAGGTGCAAACACAGAGCCTTATCTTAATCACATTATTGTAAAAATGTCCATAGCTGTATATGGGTTATTTATTCTCCAGGTTCAGCTTTTATATTATTAAAACACTTTACAGTAAACTATTTTACTGTTTATCTTTCAACTCTTCACTATTATATTATTTTTATACACTTTTCTAAATAATAATAATCCCTTTGCTGCTGTAAACACAAGAGTTTCCCCATTGTGGTATTTTCTATTATACTTTATACCTCTGCATCAGTCAATCGTGACTTTTAAAAACTGTATTGCAATACCGTAAACATAAGAGCTACGCATAAATTCAATTTCAAACACTCACCTGCTATTTTATTTATCATTCTTGACCGCCCCCTTCTTGGAGCTGCAGCATTAGCCAGCCGTTTGTTCCTCTTCTCCTTCATTTTCTCCTTGATTTCCTCCAAACTCTGTTGGAAGGACTTCTTCTGGGCTCTTTCTTTCTCTCTCATCGTGACTCAGGATCTAATATGCATTTCAAAATTCGATACAAGTACAGTTAATCATTAAGGTGATTGATAGCTATGTGGTAAATGGGCCGCTAGCTAGACAACCAAGGAGGTAGTCGTTGCAGCTTTCTAAAGCACACGGCTAACGTTAGCAACAACAGCCTGGCAATGTTTACGTATAAAGGAAAGAGACGTTGAACCTACCAGAGTATATAATTCACGAGTATTATTAGTTTCCTTTCTCCTCTTAAACGAAATACTTTACTACATTAGGGAAACAAAGCAGCAACAGAATCCATATTTTGAACTGCGTCTTCGGAAGGTTAACGTTCGAATTGAGAGCCGCGACTGCTGATTGGTGGAGATTCAATGTGACGTAATTTCCTTCCTTGAAATTAATGACTTGCCCGCTAGATGTCGCTAAAGTAAAGAAAGTCTAATAAAAGTCGATTTCCACACATCCACCCCTTAATTCAGGGGTGTCAAACTGGTTCCAGAAAGGGCCGAGTGGCTGCAGGTTTTCTTTCCAACCAAGCAATAGCACACCAGACTCCAGTCATTTCATAATGTCATCATGTTCAGATTGGACTCACTTGATGAGATGATAGGAGTCTGGTGTGCTATTGCTTGGTTGGAAAGAAAACTTGCAGCCACTCGGCCCTTTCTGGAACCAGTTTGACACCCCTGCCTTAATTCCTGAAAAGATTTATAGATTCTAAGATTTAAAGATATATATATACATACATACATACATACATATATATCTATCTATATATATATCTATATATAGATATATATATAGATATATATATAGATATATATATATATTATTTTTTTTTTTATTAACTTCTTTGTTTATTTGCCTTTGTTTATTTATTGTCTGATATATTCTTCAACTTTATTTATTTATTACTTATTTCTTTATTAGAAAATAAACCAAACAATAATATCATAACATGCACATAAATAAATACTTAAAGAAATACTTAAAGAAAGCTACATTTATTTGTTTATTGTATTTTTGGGGGGGCAATTAATTGTATGCTTATTTATTTTTGGAGCATTTATTTATTTCTGTATTTATTTTTAATTATGGCAGGATTGGTCCTCCTCATGAGTGCGGTTGCTGAGTTAAATTAACGTCCAAAGGTTGGGATTCACTCTGGACAGGTCACAAGATAGTTAGCATAGAAATTGTTTCAGTTTTTAATTTCTAGGATGATAATATATTTTTTCAAGTTGTAAATTTAAGTTTCCTAATAAGGACTATGATCATCAACCATGGTTTGACTCCTTATTATGAAATTTAAAGTTGCAGAATTGTCAGAATTGTGTTATTTGATGTCATACAATTGAAAAAATTATTATATTTAAAAAAATAGAATTGTGTTTAAAATTCTATCAAACTACTATGTTCAAAGTAACTGTGATTGGAAGGGTTTGGGAAGAAGTGTGGGAATGTAGAGGAGATCCATAGAAAATATAAAAATTGTGTTCCTATATAGAAGTAGAAGAGCATTGAAGGAAGATCTCATTACAGATCCTGCGTCGATCTAAAGAACTGAATTTTACCACCAGATCCTCCTTCCAAAGCCACGTAACAAGGTCCAAACTTGAAGATTTAGAACTGTCTATAGAGGCATAAAACCTAGAGAGCAAGCCTTTGATATTCATCTATATTTTGTATCGACCCTACCAGGGAGCGATATGAGTAAAGAAGACAATTTTATCAAATCATTCTTAATGTGCTGAACCAAGAGGGAGTAAATGGATGAAAACAAATTATTCAAATTTGGAGTTATAAAATTGTCAAAATACTTAAAACTTCTTCCAGGTATTTGAAAAAAAATTTAACAACCTTGAAAAAAAAAGATAAGCAACTGATTTACATAGATTTAATTTCTAACCTGACCAAACAGCATATTTAGGTAAAGAACTAATGATTATCAGGACTGAATTTTCTGGGTTTCTGAGATATAGATAGACATCATCTGCAAAAATCTGGTTTGCACCTGTTCTGTTTCCAGAAAAAACAGGGTTGGATATAAAACTCTGTGTCAAAGATAAAAAAAAAAAGTGTAAAAACTAAACGTGACAGAGGATACCCTTATCTGTGGCCACTTTGCACCAAGAAACACTCTAAAAAATATAATTAGTGTTTATGTTGGTTACTGCAGCAGTGTAGAAGGCTTTGATTGTATCACTGAATTTAGAACCCAGGCCAAATCTCTGTAAAAGTAAAAATAAAAATGATCATTTTTACCAATCATAGGGTTTTATGCATCAAAAGAAATTTTCAGAGCAGGGTCTTTATGATTAATAAAGTATTGAGCAATGCCAAGTGTACGAAATACTTGATCTGACCTATATCTTAATCCAGCAGAACCCTGTCTGATCCATTTTTATTATTTCCAGAAGATTTTACCCTTGAAAACCCTTTCATCTTTGCTGTAATTTAGTAATCAACATTGAGCAGACTGATAGGTCTGTAGGCTGAGCGTTCTAGAGGGATTTTTACTTTCATTCAAGAGCTACATAGAGGATATTCTTATTTTAAATGGCAAAAATGGACTACCACAGCCATGTTTCACTTAGTATGCTTTATTTGTCTGATTCTAAAAAGTGCACAGCCATACTGCATTTCAATAATCTAATTAGAATTGTTGGCATCTTAATCAGCCCCTTCCCAACCCTTTCCTGCCTGTCAACTGGAAACAATCAAACCACACTGGAGTTTTGCACACCAGGACCCAAGAAAGATTGTAGATTATGAGTAAACATTACAAACGTAAATTAGGTTGAGACTCATCAAGGGTCAGGCTCACCTCGCTCCTCCAGAATTAATGTTTGTATTTGACTGCTGTAGATAAGAGTTCACACAACACTGTACAGAGTAATGTGCTGCATGTGAATGGAGCAGATAGCTGTATTAATCCTGGAGCCCATTGACAGGAAGCATTTGTAGTCCTGTTCCTTGAGATTCTTCTAAACCTCTCAAGGCTCGTTCAAGCAAATATTAAACAGTCAATTATTAGATGAAAGCATATTTTAATTTCCCTTGTTTATCTTTTTAAACTCTCTTTAAAAGTCCAGATTCCTGCCCTTGTTTTCCACAGCCAGACTTAATCACCATCGGTGTTCATGTATTTACACAGCTCTACCCATTGAAGCCACCCAGTTCATAAACACCCATTAGTTTCTGCTAAAGCTTAAGCTGTTCTGTAAATATTGTGTTACCTTGTATTGCTTAATGGTCTGTGATTTCATTCAATTTAAAATTCATTGTCAAACAACATGACTTGCTTTTTACACGATACAGAAAATTTGCATGCTTCCTGCAGGTCCTCACAGGTAATGATATCCAGGTTTGTGTTTAAGCATCACAGAGTGACTTGCATTTATTCTTCTTAGAAATCATGGTTATTTCCTCAGCCAGACTAAGATGTTGGATATGTTCAAATATGTGAAACATAATGTTCTCTGAAAAAAAAACAACCAGCTAAATAAAGAAACTAATAGTGCATGTCTTTGTTAAGGTAAAAAAAACCAGTTCCAGCTATATATAGAAATTAATCATTGACTAAAATTTCCAATATATTTATATAAAGTTTTCCAATCAGTCTGACTGCCATATATTTTTTTTTACAGATCATGCCAAATGTTGTTTTGCAGAAGTGCATTTTATTTTTTGTCATTTAAACCTGCAGGAGGACAGCTTTCCAGCTAGTGTAGTGCGTTTAAGATAGCAAGAAGGTTCATGGAGTCTATACATGATCTTCCTTGGTCATAAGTAGTAATGGTAATTTAATGTGAATGCATTGAAATATAACTTTGAGTGTTGTTTTGTGTCTAACAGTCTGATGATGCAAGAAAAAATTTTAAGGCTTAGTTCATCTCTTAGTAAATTAGTTGAGAAATGTGCTTTAAAAGTACATTTATTTTAATACATTTGTGTGTTTGAGCAAGCCAAAGGCAAATTTCTGCCATCATTGTGTATGGTATAAAGCTTTTCTATTCTATTCTATTCTATTCTATTCTATTCTATTCTATTCTATTCTATTCCATGCATTTGTATTGCCTTGGCAATTTTAGAGGAATAAAAGACATAAATAGATAACAATGTGCTGTCAGGATTTGGTTTTGGAGTGTAGACCCAAAAGCAGAGGCAGGAAGGCAGAGGTGAATTTCTTTAGATTTTATTAAAAAAGGGAAACTGAAAACAAAGGCAGGTTATCCAAAAATCCAATAATGAAAACAAAGTCCAAACAAGCATCAAACCAGGAGTCCAAAAAATCCAAAAGAATCAAACATAAAAACTAGACATCAGGGGAATCACTGTCACAACGAGGAAGACTCAGGAAGACGGAGTTGGACAAAGTTTGGCAGTGTTTGACGAGGACCCAGCAAAGGGGAACTGAAGAAAGAGGGCTTTTTAAAGGAGACTGAGACAAAGAGGGGGCTAATGAGGAAACTGGGAGCAGGTGTGCAAAGAACAAGAGAGGGAAAGAGCTAGGGAGAGGGAGAACATAAGAGGGCAGCAGAGAGCAACAAATAGAAACCTGGAAGACTGGAAATAACAAAATGATAATCAAATAACTAGGACTATAAAACATGGAGAAAAGAAAACTAAACACTAGAAAACAAGGAGTAAAGTAAGACTGAATACTCAAAAGAAAAACATAACAGAAACAGAAACCTGACATGTGCTTAAATAGCCTTAAATCATTACTCAAAATTACTTAAATCATTAAAACATTTTTTGCTGAAAAAAAAGTACTACTGAAAAATATAATTTAAAAAAAGAAAGTCAGTGATATGTGGAAAATCCAGTGATGCCTGTCTTATTGTACAGATGTAAGAAAATACTTTTATCCCCCATGTTCTGTAATTACCATGGAGCATTTTATAAAGGTCTATGAGCAAAGGGCAAAGTTGCTCAATTTAGCCGACATATAGGAGGTGAGAAAGGCTACTGAGAGGCTTACTCTAAGAAAGTATGTCTACAAGACACAGGGGCTTAATTGTGGTTATTTTCAAAAGTTACTTTTTATCAGGAAAAAAAAAAACAGCTTAATCTGAATTTATATTTTAATTTATTGACTATAGATGTACATGTTTTGCATCATATATATTATTCATAATATATGCATGATTATTTTTAACGTTTTCTGTCTTACTGGCAGCACGTCTTGTATTCCTATCTTTTTCTTTGTTCTGCACAGATTCTAACATAAAAGACAGGTCCATTTTCTGCATGATTGCTAGAGTGTTGCTCATAACCTTTCCAGTCCTTGCACCAGAAGGTCATCTTAGAATAGTTCCTACCCTCGTCATCTCATGCTTGACTTGAAATACATGGGGTCCAA